CCTAACCCTATGCAAGCTCCACACTTGCAAGCCTCCCTTGCAGCCACATCAGCCATGGGAGTTCCTCTCCCAGTCTCGATCCAGCTCAGTGCAATAAGCACGCAGGAGAGATTGAGTGATCAAATCTTTCCAACGCACCCTGACCGCGTGATAAGCAGATGACTGATTGTGTTTTATGCGCAAAGATTTCAACACTTAAGCAAAACATGTGAGACGAAGAGTACCAAAAAACGAAATAAACTGAGTCAGTGCGCGCACCACAGCTTTAGTTGTAATGGACCTTAGCGGGTACGCAGCCGGAGACCTGGTACTTTTGCACATAACAGTCAATAAATACTTACTGCCAGATTTAGCACACGGCAACGGGCCGACACAGTCCGCAATCAAATACTCAAAAGGTTGGCTTATGGCAGGGATCAGTTGTAGAGGAGCATGCTTCACACACTGATTTGGCTTGCCTGTTAATTGACACACCTGACATGTTTTAATATTTACAGCAACATTCATTTTTACACACGGCCAAAAGAAATGTTTCAAGATGTTTAGACACCAAAATGCCCACTCTCGTCGTGTGCCACTAAGGACCAACGGGCGAAATTTTGTCGGCACAACCAACTGGAAAATATAATCCCCTACAGCAGTTGTGCCCAATCAGTCGATCGGCTGATCTTGTCAGCTATCTGTTTTCCATTTCGGGAAAATGTAGATGTGGATTGTATAACGTCCAAAGTGGCATTACTCTGCAACCTGGATAGCTGTGCTGTTGAGAATGAGATCTTCACACTGAAGAATGACATTGAGCTCAAATCCAGAGCAACACCTGACATGAATGTCCAATTCTGGAATCTAATGCAGAAAGAGAAGTACCCCAACCTCAGACAAACTGCAGAGAATTTGACTGCACTTTTTGGATCAACATATTTGTGTGAGTCTGCATTTTCACATATGAAAAATCATCAAGTCAAAATACAGATCCACCATGACTGATGACCACCTTGCAGTCTGCTCGACACGACGGACTAGCAAATCCCCTCCGGCTCCGTGGCTGTCTCAACCGGTCCGTGCCATGAGAGCCACCATGCGAGCATTGGAAAGGAGATGGCGTAAATATAAACGACCTGACGACCTGCTTAAATTTCAATCTCTCCTCTCCTCGATTTCTGCTTCTATCTCTGCTGCCAAAAGCTCTTTCTACCAATACAAAATTGAATCTTCATTTTCTAACCCCAAAAAACTCTTCTCGATCTTCTCCAATCTCCTCGAACCCCCTACCCCTCCTCCCCCCTCCACCCTTCTTCCGGGAGACTTTGTCAACTACTTCACCAAGAAAATAGCTGACATACGCTCCTCCTTCTCTAACCCACTTCTTACTTCTCGCGTCCCACCGACCTCACCTCTTTCGCCCTCACTTTCCTCTTTCACCGCCCTCTCTCCTAACCAAATTCTTACCCTAGTAACCTCTGCCCGTCCGACCACCTGCCCTCTTGACCCCATTCCATCACATCTTCTACAATCTATCGCACCTAACCTTCTTCCGTTCCTCACCTGTCTCATCAACAACGCTCTGTCATCTGGCTGTTTTCCCAATTCTCTGAAGGAGGCAAGAGTCAACCCTCTCCTGAAGAAACCCACCCTCAACCCTTCTGAAGACAACAACTACAGACCGGTCTCTCTTCTTCCCTTTTTGTCCAAAACCCTTGAACGTGCTATCTTTAATCAACTCTCCTCTTATCTCCACTGTAACAACCTCCTTGACCCCCACCAGTCAGGTTTCAAGGCAGGCCACTCCACAGAGACTGCTCTCCTTGCTGTCTCAGAGCAACTCTACACTGCTAGAGCCGCCCCTCTCTCCTCTGTCCTCATCCTTCTGGGACCTCTCTGCTGCATTTGACACCAGATCCTTATTTCCTCCCTTCAGGAACTTGGTGTCACAGGCTCTGCTCTCTCCCTTCTCTCGTCCTACCTCGACGGCCGCACCTACCGGGTAACCTGGCGAGGATCTGTGTCGGAACCTTATCCTCTTACTACTGGAGTTCCTCAGGGGTCCGTGCTGGGTCCCCTCCTGTTCTCGCTTTACACCAACTCTCTTGGCGCTGTCATTCGCTCGCATGGCTTCTCTTACCACAGCTATGCCGATGACACCCAACTAATTCTCTCCTTCCCTCACTCGGACACCCAGGTGGCGGCTCGGATCTCTGCCTGTCTGACTGACATCTCTCAGTGGATGTCCGGCCACCATCTGAAAATCAACCCCGACAAGACTGAACTACTTCTCTTTCCCGGAAAAGATTTGCTTACCCAGGACCTGACAGCCAACTTTGGAAACTCCGTGCTAACGCCCACTTTGACCGCTAAGAACTTCGGCGTCACACTCGACAGCCAACTCTCCCTGACTCCCAACATCACGCGACAACGCGATCCTGTAGATACACGCTCTACAACATCAGGAGAATACGTCCCCTTCTCACTCGTAAGGCAGCGCAGGTACTGATTCAGGCCCTTGTCATCTCCCGCCTGGACTACTGCAACTCCCTCCTGGCTGGTCTCCCTGCCACCGCCATTCGACCTCTGCAGCTCATTCAGAATGCAGCAGCTCGACTGGTCTTCAACCTTCCGAAATTCTCCCATTTGAGGAAATTGCACTTTCTTGTTTCTTGTTCTCCTGAGTTTGTACCCTATGGTTGAATGCACTTATTGTACGTCGCTTTGGATAAAAGCGTCCGCTAAATGACATGTAATGTAATGTAATGCTTACGGCTGGCACTCAGCTCTTACTGTTCGGACTATGAGAGACTAGCTTCCTCCTCTCAGTGCCAGAAAAGGTAGAGAAATGTCACTTTTCCAACTTGAATTAGTTCTTATAAAAGTTCAAAGAATTAGGCATTGTATTATTTGGGTTGTTTGTCTGTGTTGTTACGGGCCAGTCCTGGGCCTACTTGTGCTTATTCTTTGCAAATTCACATTTACTTCAATAAATGTATTATGATTGTTAAAACTGTATCTATGTGTCAGAAAACAGTGTCCTATATAAGTGCGCAATAAATTGTGGCTACGCTACGGCTTTCGATATGGCTTGGTAGCTCTCGATACACTATCAACTTTAAAAGTAGATCTTGGTTCCAAAAAGGTTGGGCACCCCTGCCCTACACAGTCGCTACTCACCCCAATCCATTTTCTAAACAGCAGGCCGTTGCACAGAAAGTAGCCGCTGGCTGCACTTTTTATCTCAGCAGCAGACAACACACGTTCACACAATTCCTTGAGGGAGAAATCACTGATTTGCTCCTGCAACAACTCACTCTGCCCAGTGAGCCTTTTTTGGTTGAAAAGGCGTTTAAAAGACGTCTATGCCCGACTAAAAGTGAAAGTTGTTTCAACGTCTATTCGTAGACGTTGAAAAGACGTCTATGTTTAGACCACATTTCAACGTGATTTCAACGTTTGTAAGTTTACCACCGATATTATAAATCACGTTGAAAACGGGTCTATACGTGAGCGTCTTTTCAACCAAAAAATGCTCACTGGGGAGGTCCTGGGTGATCATGGGGCCCAGATACAAATACAAATACATTTCAAGGGAAACGTATTTGCTGTGGCTTGTTTTTCTCGTTCCACAAATATGTTCCAACCTAACCAACTAGTTTTGAAGTGTTTTATTTCAATATACTGTACAATGTTGAGCACCGTCTTCAAACTGTTTAAAACTTCCAGGCCTTGACAAGATCACCGCCCTGTAGTCGGAAGAGAATAAATCAAATAGAGGACTCAGGTGAATCACTCTCAGGTTTTGGTTCTTTAACGAGAGAGGAGAGGAGGTTGATTACCGGCTGTAAGTGGCTCCGCCCACTTATATGTTCACACGACTGAATGGCAAAAAACCATTAAATCTTCACCTTAAAGGGGACCCTCTTTTCTCGCAGTATAACTCTGACAACAGACCGTTTAAAACAATAATAAAATACATAATATAAAGTGTGAATGTAGCATTAACATTTCAACTAGGCTGGTAAGAATCTGCATATAGAGTGACTCCGCAACCTTACTTTTAATTAAAGAGGGAAAATACTCCCGGGACAATCTGAATAATTGAAACAGTCTCTCACTATTGTCTTAATGATATGTGACATGGATCCACCGGAGACTGGTTTGACAAAGCTTCTGGTGCATGCAGGCTTCTCAACCTTTTCAGTATAATTTCAAAAGTTGCAGGGTGTCCTCATTAAACCCCTTCCAAGTGACCCCTATTGTTATTGTCTGAATATGAACTCGCTGTGCACGAGCCCTGTCTTTAATTAAGACAGAAGACCATAAGATGAAGGAACAACACTTGAAGTCTACGGTCACAAGGGAAAGATCGTGAACAAAATCTGGAAGAAATCAGCCAAACAACTTCTCTCAAGTATCAAGTATCAAGGTCAAGTATCAGCGCTGCGTTTACAAAGGCAGGAGCAGTTCTGTCGGCCCGCAGGCCGGAAGAACAACTGACTAACATCAGGAAGAACATTACATTTTGTATTTCTTGTTAGATATGAAAGAAAAGACTTCTATTGGCCCTAAACTGTCGTTGAGGAGGAGCAGGTCCTCTCGCCACAACACAAGATCCAATCACATGCAATGTGTGGCCTTCTAACATAATGTGAACCTAATGACCAAAGCGTGAGTGTTGTATGGTGCTTGGTGTGTCTCTAAATCTCATCCTTATCAGATCTGGGTCTGCCTGAGTGACACTTAATGCTTTTCCTCTGGCCTTGCACTCCTCAAGACAGTGACTCCCTAAAGAGCACTTGATTATCACAAGGGAAATGAACAGTGCTGCATTGGGAAACGTGATTGCACAACAATAACCTCATTTCATGTGATTGAAGACTCGGAAGTTACAATTGTCGTGCCCTTTCTCTCTTCTCCCGTTCCATATTTCAGAAAATGTCTGACTTTGAGGACTTCAGCCGGCCGGGAGGGCTGGCGAACGCTTCCGAAACCTACCAGCTGAACCCGACCAGTGTGATCGTGTCGGTGGTTTTCTCCCTCATCTTCCTGCTGGGCACCGTGGGCAACAGCCTGGTGCTGGCCGTGCTGCTGCGGAGCGGCCAGGTGGGATACAACACGACCAATCTGTTCATACTCAACCTGAGCGTGGCCGACTTCTCCTTCATCATCTTCTGCGTTCCTTTCCAAGCCACCATCTACTCCCTGGAGGGCTGGGTGTTCGGCTCCTTCATGTGCAAAGTGGTCCACTTCTTCATCAACCTCACCATGTACGCCAGCAGCTTCACGCTGGCTGCGGTCTCTGTCGACAGGTGTGTTCATTCCGTCCCACTTACAGCAAATGTTCAAAGTCATTTCCACCCATAGCCACTTGTGTTTTTACATTAGAATCATCCATAAACTCTTTCTCAATTTACCTTGAAGTAACTATTGCGGGCAAAGCGGAGAAAAGGGGAGATGATCGTTTCGCATTTCCTGTGAAGCCCTTTTCCTTCTGTCTCTAAAGGTTGTTGCTATGAGCTGCAGCTGTAACAATGAGACCCATTAATGTGTCTAACCGTTTTTTAAATGAACCAATTGATTGTGTGGCCTCTTTAAATGAAACTGAATCCCATTATCACAAAGCACAAAGTTACATTTTCAAAGGAAGGATGTTCTTATTTTCACAGTGAGGTTTGTTAAATCTTCTTTAATGACAATAACGTTATGCTATTTTGCTTGAACTGGCACTAAATCCTGACAGTTGCACTGGACACATACAGGCCTCATTTGCTTTCAGAAATAAAATATTAAAATATATTAAAATAAAAAAATTAATTATTAAAATGTATTAAAAGAAGAAAAAAAAATATTAGTAAATACACAAATGTGTTTTCTTATGCCAAAATTGAATGAATAAATACCAGCATGAAGACATATTACGTGAGAATGGCGAGTATCAAAGCTGTAAAGTAACATTCATTCATGTTCACACTTTTATGAGCATTTAGTTCACCCTGAATGTTGTTTTCCTCAACCAAAGAGGAAGAAACATCAACAATCTCAACATCAAGAGGGACTCTGCATCTGTATTTTATAAGAGAATCGCACATTATCCCAGCGAGCATTAACCGTCATTATAGTGGGTGAACAACATCGTCCGCTCAGTCAATGCAGACGGAATCGGGGGGAAGCGGCCCTCTGCAGCAGACACCATTTGCTCACACCGGCTCTATTAACAATTTAGAGAGTTCAATAGATTTTTCAGCCCACCAGCGAGACGTTTCATCGTCATCCCGGATGAAGAGCAGGGGCAGCCGGTTCGGGGTGTTAATGGATTTCTGTTGTCGTCCTCAGTTTCCGTGTAACCAGTTAAAAAAAAAAAGACAGCAGCTTAGAGTCAGAGTTTAGAACAGGAATCCCCGGTAGGGATGAAATCACCGCTCAGCCTGAATGAACAGCAGCACACACACACACACACACACACACACACACACACACACACCACTAGCTCAACGGCAGATCATACGTTTGCTGTGATTTAACGCCAGAGAAATTTCCCATGTGAAAATGTTTCATACAGTACCAGTCAAAAGTTTGGACACACTGATTCAATTGAATGAGCAAATGTGTCCAAAATGTTGACTGGTACTATACAGTAAAAAAAAATACAAATGTGTAAAAATATAGCTCATAATCAGGGAATTCATACACACAAATACTTGATTTAATAAGCGGATGCACAATAAAAAAGGTGAACCTCGATTTCTGGATTCCAGGTTTTAAACTCTTTTTATTCAAACAAATCAATCGCAGATAATATAGCATTTGAGCAAAAATCCATTAAGATCACTCTGTGATACATTCGGGGAGAAATTACACAAAAAGCATCTGGACCGTTGCAGTGAATTAGAAATTCAGCCATGGCTCAATCTTGTGTGTGTTTTGTGTAACAGATCGGTATCTGGTAATTGGTAGAGGCTCTAAAAGCAAATCATCAACAGACTGTTTCATTAGTTCAGGCCTCGACGACAGCAAACATTCTGAGTACCTTTTTTCCTCTCATGTTGAACGTGAAGGGCCATCGGCCCCGTTTCGGTCGGCTTTCCAGAGGCTGATGCTTCTGACTAAAGTGTGCTCTAAGCGCAGACGGGGGGCATGTTCAAAGGGGAGCAACCCAGCCGGCGAAGATGCAATAACCTCAGCAGCAACGTGTGAAAAGCAGCGTGCTGTCGGAATATTCAAACGAGATCCGCCCGGCTCTTTCTTCGTGGACCCATGTGACGTGTGGTGGGATTTGCTCCTTTTTCACCTGCCCGCCCCGTAACATCAAGAGCAGTTCAGTTCAGGAGGATCCGCGACGTCCTGACCTGCTTCTGCTTCAGACGATGCATGCGCGACGCACTCCTATTCTGCAAAAAACCTTTAACACATCTAAAAGGAGCTTTGGGGTGAAATAATAACCAAACAATGTAACAACAGAACAAGAGGAAGTCGTTTGGTTTAACTGGATCGACTCCATAATTCACTGATCACTCACATAGTAAACCATTTCTCCTTTTAGCTTCCATCACATCATTTACATTGTCATGCAAGTTTGATTGACAGCAATATGGAGCTCCGCTGGTTTGGATCACATGTCACCGTGTGTTTGGTTTCCCCCGTGAAGGTACCTGGCCATCCGCTACCCGCTGCGCTCCAGGGAGCTGCGCACTCCGTGCAACGCGGTGGTTGCCATGGTGATCATCTGGGGTCTCTCCCTGGTCTTTGCCGGTCCTTACCTCAGCTACTACGACCTGTTCGACTACGGCAACAGCACCGTGTGCATCCCCGGCTGGGAGGAGCAGAACCGCAAGGTGCTGGACACGTGCACCTTCCTGTCCGGCTACGTCGCCCCCGTGCTGATCGTCAGCCTCTCCTACACCCGCACCATCAAGTACCTGTGGACGGCCGTCGACCCTCTGGACGGCATGTCGGAGTCCAAGAGGGCCAAACGCAAGGTCACCAAAATGATCATCATCGTCACGGTGCTCTTCTGCATCTGCTGGCTGCCGTACCACGTGGTGATCCTGTGCTACCACTACGGCGACTTCCCGTTCAACCAGACCACGTACGCCTTCAGGCTTCTCTCGCACTGCATGGCCTACGCCAACTCCTGCGTCAACCCCATCGTGTACGCCCTGGTGTCCAAGCACTTCCGCAAAGGCTTCAAGAAAGTGTTCAGCTGCATCCTCAGCAAAAAGAGGAGGAACAAGGTCCACGTGGTCCACGTGGCCAACACCGCGCCCGGGTTCGAGGCGGGATCCACGGAGGTGTCGCAGATGAACGAGGAGCACGCGCGACAGAACGAGTGCGAAATGATAAACAGGCGGATCGGGGAGCCGAGGGAAGCCACGGTGGCGCTGAATTCGCCCTTTCGGAGGCCGTCTCCTCGCGTGGGAGAATGAGATGAACTCTCATCGCGGCAGCTTTGCCGGCCAATGGGAGGTGAGATAAAATGAAGGATATTCGCGCAGATAAGTTCAGTTGATAGTCCACAGCCCGAACACGTGTCAGCTTCACCATCTGTCAAATACTCTCGCACATACTGTTCCACTGACAGATAAATGTCTCCGTTTCCACCGTTTGCCTTAATTCTGGCCGCAGGCCTGGAGCGCACTCAAAGGTCCGGTGTGTGGGACGATCTCATCTAGCAGTGACGTTCCAGCTGAACACCAGCGGGCTCAACTGGAACCGGGCCTTCGGGCGGGAAACGGCACATGAACCTCCGCGGATAAACAACCCTGCCCGCCTCCGTGTCGGCAGCACACCAACGCACATCCAAGCCACTCAATGGAGCTCCTCCGGTGGGCCGAGGGAATGAAGTCTGCGGGCGTTTTGATGACCTTTTCTGCAAATGGAGCATCAATGCATTTTCTTTCTCTTCTGCTAAATTGTGGACCGGGTTACGATTGGCTGATGAGAGCCGGGGGGGCGGGATCGAGCGCAGGCCTGCAGGTGCGGCGCCGTCGACTGTGACTGCTGTTGGTCACCGACAGCAAAAACACAAACGGAGGCAGCGAGACGAGAGGCAGACTTTACCTGTAGGAGGATGAAGGACTGTGTGAAGAGGAGCCGCTCCATAGCTTAGCTAATCATGTGGTAATGAAAACATATTGGTGAACATTGCATTGTATTGAACATACCGTTTTTTCAGCTTTGGAAAATGATTGTAGCACTTTTTAAAAGCAGCATAGAATGTGTTTGTTTCACCTTTCCAAACGTCGGTGACTATTTTCTGTCCAAGTGGACCTCGCACAGGTTGATACACAGCTTCAGGGTCATTGACTCGTCCGTGTCTTTTGAAACTTGCATGCAGATGATGTTCTGTCGCGTTAAGATGTTACCGCTATATTTGAATGATATGTTATAACATACAAACAAATGATATTATGAATATCTGTGCAAACGTAATGTTCAGTCATATTTCATCGGCATACCAGCATTCAAGGATCAGAATCAGACAAAAAGTATATTAGTTTTAGTAAAAATGGAACCGGACACATTTTCCTGCTTAACTTGGCTTTTGCAATGATTGTAATCAAGGCATGTGAAATATTATATACATTTAAATTGCTATTATCTTTATCAAAGAGTGCACTTAAACAATTTGGGGTTGTGTGTTTTGTGTATTTAAAAGCTGTGAAATGGTGATAATTATTCCCATGTTTGTTTCATTTCTCCCTCCCGATGGAGGCAGAGCGTCCACCTCGCTCTCTGCGAGCTCGTGTCCCACGTCAGAGCTGTTTAAAGAAAAACCTTGTGGTCCTTTTATCCGTGTTCTGCTCAGATTGCGTAAAACGCAATTTTCCTCTTGAGAAACTCATTTCCAGAAAGAATATCCTCCTTTGCAGTGACCAATTGTTATGAGATTGTTTCTGTGTTTTTGCCTGTTTAAAGTAGCTATTTCCTCTGTTCACTATGTAGACCTTTCCCACATAACAACCTGTATACATACATATATAAATATATATTTATCAAAATGCGTAACACAACATATTATACACTTACATGAACAAATAAAATATTTTCTGCTGTGAGATTTTAGTGCTTTTTGTCCGTGTATTTCATCTTTATTACTGCTTTCATTCCTTAATGGAAGACCAGAGAAAGAAACATCACTCAAACTACACAGAGAACAACGTTTAGCCCACTAGTGACCAAATTTACATTTCGCATTTACATTTTTCTTCAGCTGATGCTTTTATCCACAGCGACTCACAATAAGTGGATTCAACCAAGAGGCTACAGACACGGACCAACAACACCATCTAGAAAGAACCATTTCCTTGTGAAAGCCAAACTACAAAGTGCCATAATTAAGTGCAATCGTAAGTGCTAATGAACTACTCCAAGAAGGGATTTTTGACAGCATGTGGATGTGTGGCGCTGAAATAATCACACTCTAATGTAGTGTGCAATGAGTCACTACTCTGCAACGCCTGGACTGAAATGACCCTCAGCTTGTGATCAGAGATCAGCTTCTTGGTGAGGAAACATCTGGCGTGCAAAGCTTCTTACAGCGAAAGCCACAAACCTTTGAGAAGAGGCAAAATAACACCACTACTGGTACAATAAAGCACGAGACAACACATCCCTGCAGTACGCGCAGGCACAGATTGCACTTACGTGATTAAAAGAGGAGTCACGGTGCACGTTTTGTGTGTGAATAAAAAGGCCTTTTGTGGTGAAGCAGCGTGAGTTAGTTGGTCCGAGGTCGTCGAATATCTCGTCTCCATTCATCTTTGGATGAGAGATTTCTTTTGTCATGATTAGAAATTCTTTCAGTTCAGTTTGGACATTCTTTTTATGAACCAATGAATCAGACAATAAAAGCACTTGTAGAAGTTTTGTAAATGGAATTTGTAAACAATTCTACCTTCAGGGTCCCGAAGAGAAATGAGATTTCTAGTTTTGTTCAAATTGTCTGATTGTTCCGCCCGATGTGAATCCTTTGTTACTGAAATAAGGTTTAGAGGAAACGCGAGAACCTTCAGCCTCCAACAATGGAAGCTACTGATGGAGGACAATGGGAAAAACCTCCGGGAAATCAATGGTTGTTTTCCAAACAAGGCCGAAGATGCAATTGCAGTTATAGATGGAAATGATTGATTGATGAGACAGCAGCCAGATATTAAGCCACAATCCATGCATTGATGTTCTCTAGAGTTAATGAAATAAAGAAAATCATGTTCACTAGACCATCTGTCTGTGTCGATGTCTGCAGAACAACAAAAAACGGAGTTTTGTGCCACTCTTAAGCAAACGATCAGTGATTGCTTTACATGCTTCATCAGCTCCTTTAAAGCTGCAGTCGCCACCGTCGACAGTAAACCTACGACATGAAATCAGCGCGGCTTTGGCTCAAAACTGACTTCTAGGCCTCCCTGAACAATGCATTAAATGACTGGAAAGACTTAGTGTCGTCAGCCACAGGTACCTTTGGGTTTTGTGGTCACCGTGACAAGTGAGTTCGCCTGACACCCTCTTGTCAGACAGTGACCTTTGCTTTGACAGAGCAACTTCATCCACAAGAAACGAGAGAAGCGAGCGATCGGGGGGAAGCGGATCGGCTCTGCGCGGTGTGAACGTCCTGCGGTGAGGTTGTGTGCATTCGTTGTAATGCATCCGGCAGACGGATCGATGTGTACGCGGCCAGAGGGGGTCTGCAGGGGGTCAGAGGGAAGCGGTCCGGGTTTGCCTGAGAACATTCGGTAAGAGGGGTCTCTGGTAGAGGAACACAGGTACACCGAAGCGCCCTCCGCAGTCCACAGCCGGCACGGCAGCGAGCCGCGTTCTGGGATTTCATCGGGTCGGGGGGAACCTTAAAGGCGCAATCTGCAGTTTAATGAACGATTGTAAAGTCCCTTTGAAGGACTGGTTGTCATCAGTTCTCCTCCATTACACACAAACTGACTAAACATGCACACAATTCTGGGAGGTTAGCGCTCACCCATCAATAAATACACACTTAAATCGTTCACACGCAAATAGAAATTGTTTATCAACCCAGACTGAAATCAATGCGGCTGTTGTGGGGAATGCGCGGTGGGCTCAATCACCACAGCGTCACCTCATTTCCTGACAGTGAAAAGACCCCCAAAGACCCTTTTTAAAGGCACACGGCTCCATGTTACAAGATGACAAAGACAAAGAGTTTGGCTGAATTACACTCAGGACGCCGGCGCTGGTTTTATTGCATGTGTTTATTGTCCAGGTTCCGTTGAATGGAAAGCGGGTCGAGGGGCGCTGGTTGTGCTGCTGGTCGATGATGAATTTCAGTTGTACATATTTACATGGAAAAGGTGAAACAGTGACAAACATTTAAAAAGAACAGACGGAATAAAATAAAAAATATAAAACAACATCCCCAGTATTTATATCTGAAAGTCACACAGCCGACATCATTAGCATAGTAATAAAGGCACTCCGATGTTTATTATTTACAGTTTGTTGATCTTAAATAAGGGAACTTTCACAGTAAGAATACTCTAAAAGGCATTTCAAAAGAAATAAACAACGAGAATCAAGATACTTGATTAAGTACTCAACATATAACTCCACATCGCGGCAAATATAATAAAGCTAAAAGTGGTTTAAGTAAGAACTGTAAAAACAAAAAGGCAGATGTTCATGACGCACACTGGCGTTCTGTGCAACAACACACGCGACGCAGCGCTCGGGCCTCAAGGTCCTTTCGCTCCCCGGCGCCCGATTCCAAACAAACAAAACACTTGTGTTCCGTCTGCATTGAATCCTGTGCAGTGAAGAGCTACGTGGTGACAACCCGCCCCCCCGATGGCCTCCACCCTCGGCGCCACGTCCCTCCCCCAGCAGCACGGTTAGTGTCCCTTCAGCCAACAGAGGGAGGGGAAACCGGCGCTGGAGGGTCACGTCCTGAATGCGACCTTGTGCATCGCAGGGAACGTTCTGCTCCTTTCATTATTTGACATCCAAAAAAAAAAAAAAAAGGAAATGAGAGCGAACGGTAAGTCCGGCGCCTTCTCCGTCTACTTCTTTCTCTTTGGTGTAACGTGATCGTCAAAAAGGGGACCGATCACACGCTGTAGCCGCGATGAACAAAGGCGACGGACGAGCGCTCAGCTGAACCCGTCCAGCAACCTGAGCGAGTGACGCGAGGTTAACATCAAAAAGAAGCCCGACCCTCTCGGTGGGAACGTGTGACGGGGCACGTCCACCGACATCGGACGGGATTCTGCTCATTCGGGTGCGGCCGCGTGACCTCGGATCAACAGAACAACACAAAGGTGGACAAGTCCTTTTATGAAACTTCAGGGCCTCTTCGGAATAATCAGGTGAAAGCCCTCATTCACCATCAGGACTCTTAATGAAAAATGAAATGTCAGCCTCATGAATTGAGTTATGTGTGACCTAAGTGTTCATCCTCTAATGGGACCATTTGCAGGAAATATGCAGTATTATTCACCTTTAAGTACCTTGATAGAAAAATTGACTTGATAAACCAGTAATGTGGATTAATTGGCCTGTAGAGCTGAAACCATCTGGTGGGTTCACTTGCTATAACGTCAACACTTAAGCCACATCGCCAAATCCAAAATCAGGGAGGATATCAAGTCTCGTACCATGATATTGATTCAATACTAATACATTGCCCAGCCCCAACTTTTTACAGAGGGAATAAATATAGAAGCCCTTTGCGGTGTTTGGATCAGGGAACCGACTTGCATAGATTTTCACCTTTTGCTTTTCAATCATATCATTGCAGCTACTTGGGTTACTTCTCTTGCCAATTGTCTAAAAACTTCTCCTCCGACCCTCATTGCCATCAGCTACAGTCCACATGCAGTCCACACTAAACGATCAGCCACTATAAGCAGTAGTGCAACACAATAAAACAACCCATCAATAAATAAGAACTCTGTGAAAAATGTCCGTAGAACAATAAGTACTAATGTGAGACGCGCGTTTGGTGCTTCCGACGACCACGTCCAGATCGTCGGTGTCATATGAAACCATGAAGGTGCAGACAGACATAAGGAAGCACAGAGGAGTGAAAAGGAAAACACACTTCAGCCCCAAAAGGGATTTTGACGTTGCTTCCACGGGATTAAAATGAGCTTTTTAAATACTTAAATAGATATAAAATGTTATCTTTTAAAACAAACTGTACACATCTGTTACCGACACATATCAAGACACAAGTGTGGCTACTTTAGAAACAATCTGAGGCGTCATATCAAAAATACGTAGCTTTAGTAGCACTCGTGTCCCTTCATTATTCTAGTGAACGTTACGACGCTACGTCACACCTTCGCTACTCCGGCGTCACTGCAGCCGGGGTCAAAGGTCACAGGTCGTCCATCGCGACCGCCGCCTCGCCCTCCTCCGACTCCGGACCCACTTCCACGGTTCTGCTTCGGTTCTGCTTCATTCTTTCTCCGCACCCGCGCCCCCCCCCCCCCCGTCTGAAACACGTCCTCTCCGCCCGTCGCTCGCTGCCTTTTGGCTCCTCCCTCTCGCACGTGACCCTCAATCGATTTTTTCGACCTTCCCGATAATCTTCTCCTCGAAGATGGGCAGGACGGCGTCATCCTCGCGCACCTCTTCGAACACCACGCCGCAGTCGAACTCGTCGCTCACTTTCTTGAAATAATATCTATAAAAAAAAAAAGGACAGAAGGAGTGAAGGGGGGCAAAGTGACCTTTAGACCGAGACTGCTGCTTCCTGTGGGCATCACGTGGGATTCGTTTATCACAAATACTGACACGGCTACATATGATTCATCGTCCCGCCTCGAAATAGACGACCTTTCAGGGTTTTGGTTCAATAGAATCCACTCAGAGGACCACAAATGTGTCACGGACATTTCTTTCGTAAAGATCTGACCTTTACCCAGAATAAGAGACACAGTCGGAGCCCTCGACACATACAAGAGATTTAAGAACTGATTGAAAATTACATACAAGCTTGCTTATTTATATTATTATTATATTATATATTATTAATATATTATTATATTATTATTATTATTTAATACACTTTATAGGATTTTATTCTGCACTCCAAACATTGTGATATATAGAAAATGCAATCTGAATATGTTTTAATTAAAGAATAAGATCATGGTTTTCTCTGTAGTTCTCCTGCGTAGGTCTCACCTGTAACTTCCTTTCTTTGTCAGCAGTTCTTTGAACTGGCCCAGCGTGACGAGCCTCCCTCGGACAGACGTCAGGTACGGAATCAGCTCCTCGCAGAAGTAATACGCCACAGTTATGTTTTCGCACGGCTGCTTTTTAGTGGCTTTGTGTCTGCAAATGGAAAAAAAAACCAGATCGTTATTTATTGGAGTAAAGTCTTGAAGTTAGAAGTTTTGTTATAATAAAAAAAAAGGATGATGGCACAGCTTGAGATCGGTTGGGGACTGATGTGCTTTTATTCTTTGCTTCTTAAAGGTCAAACTCGCTCATCGATATGCGCAATTAGAGAAATCCTCTCGCCCGCCGACTGCTAACCGGCTGAGGGGAGCGGACACATGTGGAAACATAAAATAACGTATTAAACTGAGGAAAATGAGAAGCACCGTGTCAACGGGTGGAAACCAGAGCGGGAACACAAAACATCTGTTATCAACACATCTGTCAAAACCAAACCACGTTGAACTCAGAACTGAACTGATGTTGAACTCGGTTTGAACCTCGCTTTGTCGAGGTATTTTTAACAGCCAGGTAAATTTACACATTTAGAAGTTGTACTTTTTCATGAACAATGCAACTCAAAACCTGACATTTGCCTGAAAGTAATGACGGGTCTGTCGGTTCTGTTCGGAGGGCAGTTAAACACACCGAGAAGCCCACTCTCTCCCCATCACGGGACCCGATGTGCTTTCTACCATCAAGTCTGAGCCTCGATATTCATGACAGGGAGGAGAAACACTACCGTTTATATTGTGAACAGTTCTACATTCAACACAAACTAACAGAGACGGGTCATCGGCACCACACAACACACAGAGCAGGGAAATAAGGAAGGATTTGTGTTCTTCAGTAACCCTGAGGTGCCAGTAATGAGAAGGGGGGGAGGGGAGTGGGACAAGTCGGTGGTGGGACGTACTCGGACTGCGAGAGCTCGCTGTCGGAGACGGCGGGCACCGTGCTGAGCGGAGGGAACAGCGCAGGCCTGACCGCCGAGCGACCCCTCTGGATCACCTCCATCACGTACCTGAGGGACAAGAGGGTGATTGTTAGATCCCACTCCTTTCCTCAGCGGATCGAGAGGGCGCCGCTGCACCCGGGCTGGTAGCTGCGGGGGTGCGGGGCGCGTTGCCCCCCGGCTCACCTTTGCTTGGGCTGCACAGTGCCAGACTTGAGCGTCTCCTCCTCGAGCCGCCGGCGCACCTCCTCCAGCTGGATGAGGGGGCTGGGGGCGGGATTCGGCGGCATGGTGGGATCCTGGACGAAAGGGTGCGACGGCTGCACGGAGGTCCACGGTTGAGCCTCGTGGCCGCCGGGCCTCTTGGACCCGCTGGCGCTCCTGAAATGTAACGTCAGGAACCTGTTGAGTACCAGCGGTCAACAAAGAAAGAGCCTGGTAGCCCCCCCCCCCCCCTCACTGACCCGTACGGGCTCCTCTTATGTAGAACCAGCTCTTTCTGTCCTTCCATCAGCCACAAAAGGATCTTCTGGTTCTTCTCCATCTCATCGACGGGCGCCGGCGCGTCACACGGCCGCACCTCCTCGCCTTTCTTCAACGCCCTTTTGCACTGCGTGGCGCCTTTGCTGCTGTGCGATGGGAGGAAAACAGCCGGTTGGTAGAAAACAGGCGCTTTGGGAGCCTCGGCGAGAGCGCCGACGCTTACCTGAACCCCGCGTGCTCCGCCGGGTTCGACCCGGCGCCGTCCGCGTAGCTGCGGGACTTGGAGCCGTAATGGCTCGTCTCCGCGCTCCCGGGGAAGCCGCCCTGAGCCTCCGCCGGCTCTTTGGGCTTCCCGGCGCCGGCGTGATTGACTTGATGCGCGTGTTTGTGGTGGTGTGGGTGGCAGCCGTCTCCCTTGAGGCCGTGGCGGGACGGGTGTTTCCCGGGTGGCGCCGGCGCCCCGAGTCCCGTCCCTTTCGCCCCCGGGACGCCGTCTGGGGAGCGGGACTTGGGAGAGAGGCGGCCCGCGCCCGGCGACTGGCAGCCGGGGGTCTTCATGACCCGCCGGACGTGGTCGTCCAGGATGCTCTCGGGGTTCTCCTCGTGAGCGTCCCTCGGAGCGGCGCCGCTGAAGGGGCTGTCGGCGTAGCGCGGGTTGTGGTTCTGAGGGTAAGCACCTTCCTCTTCCTGGTCAAACAGAAATATAATCACACATATATATATATATATATATATAAATGTATAAATATAAAGGATATTGTTGTATCTGAAATAACAAAATAACGTTCATCCGAGTTTTTAATATTAAACATTGAAATATTAAACAAATGTTTGATCTGTTTCTTTCTCATCTGCTGTATTATTTTCCACCAGCAGATGGCAGATTTCACCACACTAACGTGCGTCTTCTCATTTTCACTGCAGAAGCACAACAGCATCCGTCAGATTCCAGAGAACTATGCAAGCAGGCAGCACATTTGACAGAATTCTTCTGAAGAAGTAAGAGTAAGTAAGTAAGCGTGTACTCGTGTGATCATATTGGTAGTAAAAAATGGTTTTGAAATCATCACATTACTAAAATCTGAAACAATATTGTCTTCATTGTCTTGTATTACTCCAGTCAGTTATGTTAATAATAAAATTAATCCCTGTATTACAGCTCTATACTAATGAACGGACCTTTACTAGAACTACTCCTTCCTAAAATCCAGAGGAGATATTAAATATTGCCTCTAAAGCCAAATGCTTAATGCTTTGCAGGTTTTTAATAATTCATGCATCTTTGTATCTCTGCACCACATCCCGTGTTAGCCGAGTCGACTGGAAGGTACTCGAGGAACCACGTTGTCTCCATTTGAGGAAATCATCGGCAAACAGCAGATTCCTGACATACGTGACATTCTGCTGACCAACAGTCTCCATGAGCTCACGTACACAAACGTCTTTTTAACGCCATACAAAGACGCAGACAGGCGATGACCGTCCCGCTCACAAGGGTCCTTTTGTCATTGATTTTCTTTCATTAAAAGCATGCTGCTGCTCGGCCCATGAGAGTTATCCTGCACACAGCTCAGCCACTCGACCCAGCGTCCCCGAAATGACGTTAAGTGAAGCCGTGATTTGATTCCCAGCGGACTGTGACAGAGCTACGACAATGAGCATAGTGACCAATCATCTTTTGCTCGGAGCAATAAAATGCTTTCTAACCATTAAACGTCATGCGATATATGTGATTTGAATACGTCTGATATTACGGTTGAAAAGCTAAATACTGAGCTAACATCTCCTTTTCTGGACGCTCACTTGATGAAGGAGGACATTTCATGTTGCCTCCAGGCGGCACGTTGTTCCGGGCGTGCAGGTGCTCCGTGGGATTCATCCACGAAGCCGGCAGGCCGAGCGTGGAATTCTCCAAGTGATTCATGATGCTTTTTTTTAAATTCCCCATTCAAATGCCCGGCCTCATTAATTTCATTAAGGCCAGAGGGATTTAAGTCCCGATGCTACTGGTCTGCTCCTCAAACAGCCCCCCGTGGCAGCAATTCATTCTATTTTTTTATAAGTAAAGGGCAGCTGCTGGAGGTAAAACATGGTTTGCAGGCAATGGCCCTTCTGGCCTACAAGCCCCTCACATCTTCACATTCACAAATGTGAACTAAAAACAAACTAGAAAAGACAATTTGAAGCAACTCGGGCTTCCTCGATTGTGAATCGTCAACAAATGAAGATTTGCTGCTTTACTTAGTTTGAACTGTTCATGTTAAATGAGGAATTTGAAGGTCAGGTCGGCTCTGGGAAATGACCAGTCTAAAAAGGGCAAGTCTACCACATATTCTCGGAAAACTAATTTGATCAAACGGTTTAATGGGGAGCCAAACATCAAGGTTATTTTTCATCTGGCCGACAATATTATTAATAATATCGGCTGCCAACTTGGCCTCACATGACTCGATGGTGGAACTTTGCGGAGTGAAAGCAGTGCTCCCTTTCCTTCCTTATCGACGGAGCATTTGCACAGTGGTTTCTCATGGAAACCTATGGACATACATGCATGTTTTAAGGTACTTATCTGTTAATTGTTGCTTAAGTATTTTTATCTTATTTTACTTAACTTTCTTATCCTTATATTGCACCAATGCAATGCAGTCAAATTCCTCTGTGTGTAACACGTGTGGCAATAAACGGCTGTGATTGAAGGTTATTGACCCTGGACACGGCTCTCCGATGTGTCATAGAAAGGAGCTTACCAGTCGTACTCTCTTCAGCCGCTCCTCGAGCTGCTCCTGAGCCTCCCGCTGCCTCACAACGGCCTCCAGCCTGCCGATCAGCTCCGCAGCGAACCTTTCCGGCTCCACGTGTATGTCCTTCGGAATCCGGTCGGTGCGCTGGGGGGAAGAAATGTCCCATGTAAAGACCTCCCTGTCACCGCCATATGGGCAGTTTGACCTTCCTGACCCTTTACGTCCTGTCAGGGCGAAAGTCGCCCCCGTCCACGTGCGCCATCACTCTGACGTAAAATAGCTTTAAACTTCCCAGAAAGCTGAACTGCGCTGGGCTTAAAACGCTCAAAGGAAAGCTACAAATATGCATCACTGACATTTAACCCGTCTGAATTGTTTTCAGAGTGTGTGCGGCGGTTTCTTGAAACTGGTACGCTGTGAGGCCCAAAGACAAACCAGTTGTTTGCACGCTCACACACACACACACACAGACACATATATATTCATTAATTAATTATTTTGACAAAGCAACAAAAGGCGATGCCAGAGGTCCGCTGGTGTCGGACGCCGGGCAGAGGCAGTGGTTGCTATGGTTACCATGCAGAGTGAGAAACGGGCTTGAGAAATACCCACGGGTGCCCCTTAAAGCCGCAGGATTGGTATTAACAAATATATGATGGGGGAGGGAGGGGGGGGGGTATTAAACCCACTGAGTGGGATATATATATAATATATTCTGCAAGTGTTAGGCACAATTTCATTGTAAATAAAAGGTTGGAGCTTCACTTACCTCAAAAATACATTCCCTTGCAAGTTTTAGAAACAACTTTTTATAAACAAAATTTGATAAGCAGATCTCCAGCAAAAAGACAACTCTTTTTTGACCCGGTGGTGTGTGTGGTGACTTTAAATGGGCAAACGTTCTGTTTTTAATGAGGATATAAGAGACAATTACCTCCAGGAGTTATTGCACTGCAATCAGAAATAATACACAACCCCTAACTCCTGATTTGGAACTCGTTCATACAAAGAGGAAGGTTGGAAAACAAAGTGACATTTAAACCGAGGAGGCGGTCGAGCCCCGTCAGTTCTCTCACTGCCGAAGAAGCGGAGTCCTGATTAATTCGTCGGGGCAGGGAAACGTGAGAGCTTCGGGGATTTGTGCTCCACTATACACTCGATTCGTGCATCCTAATGGGATGCTACGTGGGGAGTTTTTAATTTGACTCTTCACTCCGAGGCCTAATTAGGGCCGTGGTTTTTCCTACCGAGAGACAGCGTAAGCTGCAGAGGGAGACGTCGGGCTGTCACAGGGGAGGACTCTCTCCTGCTCACAGCTTAGGGAGGGCATCAAGCTACATTTAGACAGCCTTCTCTTTCACCATCAGCTATTCTTACACCCCATCACAGGCCCCGCGACACAGCGCGGCTTAAATATGCACGTCTCCAATGGTGCAGCGGAGGAAAATAAGGCAGAGGCAGACAGTCAAAGAGAGGTGTGGAGGCAGAAAGTGAGAGAAAGCCATGAATAACTCACTGGAATATGAGGTAGTGGCACTTGCCCATTTGCTTTGGCACTGTCGTGCATCTCCCGGCGATGGCGTTTCCGGTACCTGTAGGGTGGGACGCCATCTCTGGAATTGACAACAAAGACGATTCGATGAAGCGTCCTCATGAATAAGCAACACAGACTGCTTTGAAGTTGAAAGCTTTCCACTGGATTCCGCTCTTTTTTGTGTGCCTGAAACGACCACCTTGTAACTCTTGATTAATCAGTGCATTCTCACAGGCGGCTTGAAGTGGCAGATTACGCAGCCATTGCTCTGTAAATCCGTGGGGTACTGGTCATGCTGGGTTTTCGCACTCCGCTGTGCTGGAAGCTCTGGACCAATTAGCTGATAACGGCCTCTAATCCATTCAGCTTCAAACACATTTTGGTCCAGTTGTGCGAAGCTTTGAAGCTTCTCTGGCACGGCTGCCCGGTGCCATCTTTGCACATAGAAAAAGAGATTATTTGGAAACCTCCAGCAGCACACGCCTGTTCTGCACACTCAAGTGATGCACGAGACGTGTTTGCAAGTAGTCCCACATGGGTGACCGACATCACCTCCGGTTCCAAACTGCTGTAAAGAACCACTTCAACATGGGACGTGTGTCCCATTCGTGAGAGAGGTGAGTCTTTTCATTTCGGTACATTCTACCAGACGTGGCTTGATGTCCCCTGAGAGGGAGTTTCTAGTATTGCTAATTAGCTTTAGAGATCAATTCCGACCGCTTTCACTGGTTTGCCTAATGAGCAGATGGGGCTTCTAAGCCAATAAGTCTTTACGAGCTGCTAAAACAACTTAAAGCATGAAACGTGTGTGTGTGTGTGTGTGTGTGTGTGTGTGGTGAGGAAGCACGTACACACTGCTGTCTGTGAGGGAAATGGTGTCTGCGTCGCTGGACATGCTCTGCTGCTCGCTGTCGTTGGTGCTGGCGGCCGGGGCCACGGCATAACCGGCGTTGACGTAGTACGGGTGGATGGGCTCCCGACACGGAGCGAGCCTGGAAAAACTAAAATATAAACCGGGAATACTGGAGGATTAAAAAAATGGAGGATGGAGGTGATTGACATGCTGGTTAAAATGCACTTGTAAACACACAGCTTTTTGGTACAACCCTGAATTGAGAAAGGGTGTCATTCTGAGAAACAGCAGAGAACAGAGAAACGGGAGCGCTGCATTCGGCCACCTGCTTCACTCGCGGTCATTGACTTTGCTGAGCAACCTTCTCGCAGGGCCCAGAACACACGAATTAAAGATGTTAGGCCTCATTTCTTTTAATGCAAATTGGAATTCCCCAAAGCTTTCTCCCCACCCGGGAGAATTCAAAATACAAAACCTGTGGGACCGACTGGTTCGTATTGGCATCGACATTCAGCCAAAGTGAATATCGACAGCGGCAGGCGGGGGAGACGCCGGGACAAATGAGATTGAGATTATTGAGACATGGAAACATCTCCGAGAACCAAGTAAAAGACAGATGAGATGAACCCTTTAAACAAAAATCATTGCAGTCAGATTTCACTAACTGGACGATGAGGCGAAGCGACATTCGGTGCTGGTTTTCGTACACGGATTCTGTATCGTGTCACTGAAACATTCAAACATTTGGACACATTGAATTGAATGAGAAAATGTGTCCAGACTTTGACCGGTACTGTACAATAAAAGTTCTCAATCATCAAGAGAACCTGGACATATTTTCCCTTAATCAACTATTTTTTACTGTGTTTAGCTCGGACACGTTTTGAAGATGCTGGCTGTCCTCAGGTGCGTGGAGGGGAAACTTCTCTCCTCCGTCCCCTCCGACCCCCAAACTCTAATTATTACTGAACACCGTTAGCGATAACACAGTTGTTCATCCATGATGTCATTACACGTTGGCCTCAAAAGATGACAAATAAGGGAAACAACGATTTCGTGGGACAATAATTGAAGTGTTTGACGTACTTAAACAAAAACAAAACTGCGCTGTTCTCATTTCACAATCCCCCCCCCCCGAACATTAATGAATGTACAGGTCATTCTCTTTCATCCGAGAGCTAAAAGTTGATCTGAAAGACTATTTAATGCCGTTTGTTGCTCGTCTCTGAAGATATCGTCAGACTCAACTGAAATTTAGTCCCACAGAAACGCACGGGGAGCTGCTGAAGGGCTTTTTAAAAATGAACCGTGTGTTTCTGCATTTCAAGCCAAATGCTTGATTGCTGAAATAATGATGTGGAAAAAAAAAAAACTTTCACTTTCTAATCAAAACTTATGTGTATTTTTCAAAAGAGCGCACATCTCTAACAAAAATTCCCTCTGCTTATCTTGCCCGAAAAAACGCAAACCCTGCAGAGTTTAACCCGAACCGAGACCCGAGCACACAAAGAAGGGAAGTCTGATCCAGTTTCAACTGTAATCAGGATGTGTCCCGTCTCCAGCGCTTTAGTCCCACAGACGCTGTTATCTTTGTCTGCCTGTCAGCTCATGGGACTTCCTGTCCCTCCGAACAACACTGGTGCTGCAGCAGAACAGCTGAAATACAACGTGCTTTTTTTTTGTTTTTTTAGGAGCATCCCGTCAAGATTACTGGGAGCGAGCCGCTGTGCGTGAACTGCGCACACACTGTGCGGATTAAGCACAATTTCAGGCCCCGGATTGGTCGCCCGCGACTCGTTTGAGAATCGAGCTTCTGCCCGGATCGGCTGTTATTTGACATTTCCACAACCGCATGGGGCGGTGACACGTCTGTATTTCGGCATGGCATAAACCATCCAGCTATGAACTGAAGGGAGCTCGTTTTAATGTTTTCTGAGCAGCAATCCACATCGTGTAGATGACGGAGGCTCCGGTGTATTTATACGACATGCTTTGGCCTCCGTTTAGGTTCAAGTTTCCCGTTGTTTCTTTTCGGGACAGACTCGGCAGCGTCGGCCTGCTTCACCCGCGCAAGAGTAGAAAAAATAAGAAATGCAAAAAGAAATGAATGCAGCGAAGGGGGACACTTCCTGGACACTTCTCCACCAACAAAATCCTGTTGAACTCTTTCCCGTCACAACGCTGTCAATTCATTCTCCTGCAAACCCGCACGACAAACCGAGAACGAGCGCACTCCTTTCGAACTCCTCACAAGTTACCTCCTGACACTCCCAACACCGCAGGAGTAAAAACACCACCTTCCTCTCATCCCTGCTGTCTCCGGAGCCGCTCACACTCCGCTCTCACCCGGCACTTCAAGCGGCGCTCGTGGCCTTGTGGGGTCTCGGATTTATTTCTAATTCAGCGGATTGCCGGGAGGGTTTTACCTGAACTCGGGACCGTCCTGGAACCTGCTGCTGGCGACGCGCAGCGGCGCCGTCTCCGTCAGCAGCTTCTGAGTGAGCCGGTTGGCCGGCGAGGGGTCACGGTCGGGCTGCTCCTCGGGCTCCTGCTCGCACCTCCATTCCTCGTCTTCCATTAAAGTGGGTAAATAGCTCGACGGGCCCTTTCCGTTCCCGGAAACAGAGCTGTGATCGCTGTACAGCTTCGGGCTCTCTCCTCCTGTCCGAGTGTATTCCAAATAGATGTCGGACTTGAGAAATAAGGGGTAGGTGTTTTCCTCCATCATGGCCTGTATCTCCGTCTGAGCCTGGTCGAACATGGCGGGATCGATGTGCAGCTTCATGACGCAGTCTTTGATGAAGGACTTGGTGGCCGGCTTGATCTGTCGGGAAACAATCCCGTTGTTGTCCAGGATGTATTTCTTATAGATGGCTTTTGCCAGTTTGACCTTCTTCTCCTCGCTGCCGCCCTCAAGAGCTTCGAGCTTGCGGAAGCCGCTGCACGCAAACCAGAACTCCAACACGTCGCCGCACTCCTCCTGCTTGAGGAACATCCGAAACAGGTGGATGCCCTCTTGGTCGTCCAGGAGCGAGTGAAGGGATTCCGCCCACTTTACGTAGGGCGGCGTGGGGGAGGCGCTTCCCTCCGGCTCGTATCCCAGGTCCAAGTCCGGTCGCCTGGGCGTGGCCACGGACGCCTCGCACTTGGAGGAGAAGCCCGGGCCTGCGTACTGGCGCCCATCGCTGCGCACCAGCTCGCCCTCTTCCCCCGGGACCGGAGGTCTAGGGGCGTCCTCGGTGAAGCTGCCTCGCAGGTCCGCTAAGTAATCCCCGCTGTCGCTTGTGCTCATGGTCCCAGCATCCATGGAGCGCGGGTCGGTAGCGCCCGCACTGCACAACCACGAGATGCAGACCACCGCTCACGCCACTGCAAAAAAACTCCTGCAGGGAGGAAGAATATATCATGAGACGCAGCTTCATCGCATGCTAGCCTTAACAGGGAAGATACTCCAATACTCAGTTATATTAAAAAAAATATGCAGCAATTAATGAAAAGCAGGTAATGGTGAATTTACATTGGCTAAGATTGAGGTTGAGCGATTATTACGTGTCATAATCGGCATACGCAATTGGTTGGACGTGGACTAACATCTCACGGGGATTTTTTCCCAAATTTTGCACAGTTTGCATTTTAAAAATGGATGCGGGATGTGTGAGACGAGTTTCTGTAGCGCTCCGAAAAGTCGCTACGGGCTCGTCTTTAAATGCGGCACATTCTGCCGCTAACGTTGGCTGTTTCCACTCCAACATGATGAACCAATTATTACTTTCTTAGCAACAACAATAGAGTGAAACTAAATTGGATATAGGGAACCAGCACATTAGAATAGCTGTGTAAATTAGTGATGGGCTAACCTCAAAAAGCCCTCAAACAGAACTCCATCCACCTGATCTGTGGCCACATGTTCTGCAAACCTCAGCAGAAACTAATAAGCCAGTCGGCCTATAATGTGGTTTGATATTTGATAAATTTGCCTGGCGGTCTATTATTGTGCCGCACTGAGTCACATTTAGAGTTATGCGCCAGTGTTGTTGTAATCCAAGCCAGGAGGAGTGAGTTCTGTCCGGCCCCGAGGGCGACTATCGTCGGTAGAAATAAAGAGTGGTGTTAATGCTTCTTGCGGTTGTATCCGGATTTCTATGCATGCATCATTAATTTACCCCGCTCCTCCAATTAGATCCCAAAGAGCAGAGGAGAATCATCATAATAAAAGGTACACACTCGAGACTCCCGCGCTGAACTCGATTAGCATGAGCAGCACGGCGCATGCTTCTTTATTGATCCTTGCATCGCCTTCTCTCCCCGTTTCATTCCCTTGCCTCCGCGGTGCAGGTTCAGCTGCAGGCCAGCGTACCTTCTGACTGCACTTAAAAGTGTCTTCTTCAAGGACACGTCCTGGTCCTCGCGCTGAGCTAAGAGACAGCGGCATTAGAGAGATGCGTCTCACCCTGATGCGCATGCAGCTCAGGATCAAGCTTCTCAGGTCCCTCGTTGAGCCAAAGACAACGGGAAGAGCACATTTCCTCGGCTTAGATTCACACATCCGTGCAGCAGCAGATGTTTTTTGACAGATGAGGGCAGGACGGAACCGTGGTGACCGACAGCGGCTCGGACCAATCACAAACCCGCATTTTAGGCGCCGTGCACTTGTTAAGTCACAGTCATGATCAGGGGTGCGAAATAACAAATGAAAGAGAACTGAAAGGCCGGCAGCCAGGTTTACCCCAACCGCGAATTCAAAAGAAAAAAAATGTTTTTAATGGTTGCCTTCACTTCCCCTTTGGGGCAAACCCACGCTGTTGTCTTTTCCAATACGGATACAGACGCTTCTCCCGACTGAACAAAGGCGGTGGAGACAAAAGTGTGAGCGCCATGTGCAATAAATAAAACAATAATACATGTGCGCTGTTTTAATACGAGCACGCACTGCATCATTTAAACCAAACGGCGCGGCAAACGAGCTGCCCACGCGCTACCTGCACGCGGCAAAGCGCGGGCACGAGACGGGCTCGCCGGAGACACCTGACAACGGATCCGCGGTCACAGGTGTGTGTGTGTGTGTGTGTGTGTGTGTGTGTGTGTGTGTGTGTGTGTGTGTGTGTGTTCGCGCGTGATTCCGGTGGGTCACAGCACGGAGTCCAGGAAGTGTCCCCGAGTCCCCCACCCCGAGTCCTCCCCGAACCCGAACCCGGACCCGGCCGCCCCCTTTGAAGTGAGCCTCTCATCGCATTCACGTCTTGGCCTCTGCAGAACCAGCGGAGCGGAGGGCGGCGAGTGGGGGAGGGGAGGCCGAAACAAACTCACCCACGGCCGCCCACCCGGGCCTCCCAGCGGCCGACCGACAAGTGCACAACTTTGTGACACTATTCGCCTATTAATACCCGCGCTGTCCCCCCCCCGCGCTAGCAGCTGCTGAACCAGGCGAGCAACAGGGCGACAAAAGGGGGGGGCATACGTTGCGCCTCCCGGCAGAGGACGCGCGGGGAATCCCGCACGCGTTTTCCCGAATAGATTTACACCAGCAAAGCGATGGCACGCACGCACACACACACACACACACACACACACACACTCATCCCCAAACCCGACTACCGCAATCCCAATCTGTGATCTGAGGGAGGTGGGGTGCAGGGGGGGGGAGGAAAAGTGGCATATACTTAACCGGTGGAAATGGCCTCGCTCCCTCGCAGCGCGTCGCGCATTCGGACCGGCGTCATACCGGAGTTCACCAGCAACAAAGACCGTCCGCGCTCCGCCGCTCCGCGGCTGCGCGTCGCCGTGTGCGGGAGCCTCGCTCGGCAGAAGATGCACAGCGCCTCGCCCGTCCACCGCACACATTACCACTGGTTAGTTAGTTACGCGAGGGGGACGCGGCTCTCTCCCCCCTTTTTTCTCTCCTCTCTCTCTCTCTCTCTCTCTCTCTCTCTCTCTCTCTCTCTCTCTAAAGAAATGGAACAAATGAGGTCGTGGCATTCGCCTTCATGCCGTTCGGCGTGCGTTGCGCTCACACGCGCCTCAGCCTAAAGCAGATGACGTGAGCACAAATAGCGGGATACGTGATAGAGATGTAATAGTAACCGAACTCAAACCCGCTATTACGGGAAGAAATCCAATTCAACATAATTGATATGAATCAGTATCATTTTTCAGCGTTCAATATGGATCACAAGTAAGTTAGTACATACGTACGTGCCTCTATGCCGTATATACATTATTAATGTATATAGTGATGTAAAAATAATTTTATTTGAATACAATTAAGATGCATCATTGCCATTTAATGGTTCCCAATGTACTGCAGTTTGTTTTCAGGTTTTCATTCCAACCAGAGACTGCGCCGGTGATCGGTCCAATCAGCTCGCCTTCAGGAATCACACCCAGAGCAGCTGTGAGTTCCTGATGTTTCACAGGACCGCACGGCGGATAACCGAATCCAACTGCCCGTAACATGCACGATGACGTCGTAATCAACGACACGCCTTAAAGTCCTACGCATGCCGTGGATTCCGTGGCCTGGTTTCTAACATCCACATATCGCAGTGACCTGCTAGCCGGACTTCACGGGCCCTCAAAAGGGAGCAGCAATTGAGCGTAGCAGCCGTTTTGCAGCATCCCTCTGTTTGAATGGTACGTCTCCTAGATCCTGATGTTCTGCACAAACGTTGAATTCCTTCTTGCGGCCAATCTGGCTGAGAACTCGTCTCACACACACACACACACACACACACACAGCTTAGTACAACTGGCGCTGATGCTTTGAAACAGCCCTTCAATGGAACGGCGTTTCCCTCCACAGAACATTTTAGCGGCAGACACACTTGATCGTGTCATTACTTGATTCAGCTGTTCAAGCTCTCCGCTTTCGCTCGACGGTCCCCGAGCGGCCGCGGTGAAAGGACGAAGACGCGAACGCATTCTACTATGTGCTCACATCGAGGCTCTTGCGAGCACACGCGGTCTAAACATATCATCTGAATCGCCCGCTCAAACGACCCGAAACACAACAGGATTTCGGGCAGCAACAATCGGAGAATCCTGATGCTGTTTTCTCAGATTTGTTGTTTTTCCCCGTAGTATTTCTCTTTACCCTTATGAAGCCATGTTGCTTCTACTCAAGAATCTCCACAATGTGTCAGAACGTCACAACGAAGACATGGTTTCCCTCTGAAACACGTCACATGAAAAAAGAGCGAGAAAGATGCAGATTTGCGTGTCCCACCTTGAGTTTGATTGTCTTCCTCACACGTACGGCGGCAGCACATCCGCTTACCGAGGACTCCATCGCACGGTTATTGAAAACATCGGGCCGCGGCGGTCGCAGCGTCCCCCTCTTCACCTCGACGCGAGAAGGCCCGGCCGAAGCGGGACGTCGCCATGACGGTTTGTCTCTGCCATCCATTTGTCCCTGAAGAGGAAGTCGTCAGGGCTTTACAAACAGCAGACGAAGAGGACAGTGAAGGCACTTCTCGTGCATAGAATCATATTGTGGTCTATTGTGGCACCAGCGCCCGAAGCGTATAAACCCCAACCTGTTAAGGCGGCATGGTGCCCTCTACTGAGACCCGACAGGGGACAACATGACGTCCTGCCTTGAAAATGTTCCCATCACTACGGCAACCGACAGAAGAACTTACAGAGCAAAGTGAGAAAAACTAAAGAAAAGCTTTTAGCGATGAAGGAGGAAGAGGTCTTGTACGTTGGTCGGATAGAAACGGTGGAGGAAGAATCCTCAGCAGCTGCACATGTGGAGCAGCTCAGCAGACAGAGGGACAAAAGAAGTGTTTCTAGCTGTTGGTTAAAAGCCGCCGAGCCCATGCAAAACTAGTTTTCTTTTGAAACGTAGCTGTTGAACGCTATCAATGACAGTTTTTATGTTTTCGTTGATCAGATCTCCATTTCCAATCACAGACATTTGCAAAATCTCAAGCTTGTCAAAGGAGTTTCCATTCGCTGCTCCTAATGATTCCAGTTTCTTATGAGGAATTATTCTCCGCTGCAGTAACAACTTCATGTTCCCCAACGCCGTCCTTTCTGTGGTCTTTTGTTCCACCTGTCAGTGTGGATTTAGGCTCCCTAGTAGGCCTCGGCTGAAATAGGCTTATCTCTGCCGAAGACTCCCTGATGAACAAAAGCCCATTAAGACGTGTAACTGAATGCTCCCATTCGGAGTGCACACAATGGAGATTTTTATAGTTTTTAGTCTTCAAAGAGTGATACAAGTTACAAAAAACAAAAGAACCATTGACGAGACTTCTTTTAAAGCCCCAAAACCAAAAATGGAAAAAACACATGAAGCGTTTATGTATATATATATATATCAGGCATATCAAAGTGATTTGCTGTCTGTTTTAAGTTTAAATGAAAGAGTAATATCAAAAGACAGTCAGAAAATGCAGTCTGGAGTCCTGCTGATGTCCTTTGTCCTGGCCGAATAAATCATGACTAACAAGCCTTGGACTGGATTACGAACAGAGGATTGAGCCATTTTCAGACGAGAGTTTATTTTGCTGGATATTATAGCTCACAGAGCACTATATTCCCACAAGGGGGGACAAAGAGGCACATAATTCCTACGGTGATACGACACAAAGACATACATCCGTGACCGTGTATCAGATGGCGAAAGACGGACGGTAAAACTTCAAATGAATTTAAGCGTTTAGTCTGTCGGGGGTCTTCGGTCGTCCGGTCGTGGGATGCACATTCACCGGTCAAATCAAATGACGTGCTTTGGTTTTGACGAGACGGAGGACGAAACAAAACCATTATGGCACTGACATGAAAAAAAAAAACGACAACAGACATAATAGAACGATGAACAACACAATGGAAAGTTGCTGGTAACCGTGGTTTTTCACCCCCGGAGATTGAAAGGCGGACATCATACCTGCTTGGCTTTTTGGTTTCGTTGTGTTGGATCGCGGTCTACTCCCGCCGCTTTTCTGTGGATCGGGAATTGTCCTTCGTAGTCTGCAGCGAAGACTGCCGCCATCTTTAATCACAACAGAGTCCATCTGTCGATGGTTCTTCCCTTTCTACCCTCTCTTTCTCTGTTCCGGTGTCTCTGTTCCAGCCCTCTCTGTTTGTTGTGGGGGGTGGGGGGGGGGGGGGGGGGGGGTTCTTATTTTCCATCCAACATCAAACCACCATATCGACGGGCTCACGGGCCGCCCAGCAGGGGGGCAGCACGAACACGCCGCATTGGCTGTTGTCCTTTTCCGAGCCGCAGATTAACTGACCACGTTTCATTTCCTCAGAAGGATCCCGGTAGCCTGCGAAAAAAAAAAAATGATTTCAGTTCTCAGGCCCTTTGATTTCAACAAGCCTGATCTCAAAGCTCCTGCAGGATTGTCCCTCCCACAGCTTTTCCTCAGATGTTCTGATTGAAGGGATTTGGGGTTTTCTTTGATTGAGGCCACATCTGTGTAACGATTTTGAAATGAGTATTTATTTACAACTTCCATGGTTTAAAAAACACTGATTTGCCTTTTTATTTTCTAATTTCCAGCTGTTCCATTGAATGTAATGAAAAAGCAATACCTTCTTTTAAACAAAGCAGACATGGAAGCATTTTCTCCCACCGATAAACAAACAAAACGTGACCCAAGTAGCCTCGGACTACATTTTAGGTACAAGCAGACCGCCTGTTTGCATTCGTCCGAATGATGCATTACAGTGAAAGTGACACTTCCTTTTTGTTCCCCCTGGTCCCTTTTAACGTTCAAAGCCTGAATACAAAGACGTGTCTTGTTTACTGTCACTGTTTTGTTCCGCCAAACTCTTTCATTGAACAATAAGAGGAGTTGAATTTAAAAATGGTGGATGCTCTCACCTTCCTCCCCCGCTCGGTGGCTTGTCGGATCTTGTTTCTGTGGTCCGCCATGTCTGGGCGCAGTCCCCTGCCTGCCACTCTGCCAGACCTTCTCATACTCGTCAACCTGTTTCTGATTCTTACTTGGGTGTTGCTGAAAGAAGAGCATCTTTACTTTATATTGCAGCTTCAGCCGTGCGACCCTATTGGAGGAAACAAGGACCGGATGATTGTCTGCACAGTCGTATTGTAGCTATGGTAACGGACCCAACAGGCATGAGTGGTGTGCGCCTAATTCCTCTGTATACATTAAGCGACAGAAAAAAAGAAACATTCATTTAGCAGTACATATTTTAGACCATAAATATTTTCTATGAACCTCTTCACTTAGATGTTCGTTTTAATAAAATATTACTATCTGCTGCATTAAGTTTTGAAAATACCTCAGTGAATGAGGGGATGAATGCAAATGACACAGAAGAAAGACATTTTGGAGAGGGGGGAGAGATGATATTGCTTTTGTTATGTAGTTTTATCAGCTGCTTACCTTTCAACTGGATTTCACACTGGCATGTCTGGTTGCAGCCAGGGTCAGATCCAGCATACCCTTCTCACAATGACCAATTTTCTCCTCACCCTGCAACAGCCAACAGCAAAGAACCTCCGTTTTTGGCTGCCACTTGCATTTGTCTATATTGTGATGGATTTAAACATCACAATATATTTTCATTTTTTAATTTGCTGATTTTAACTAGTCAGCATCTATTAATTATGTATATGTTGAGAACTTTTAGAACTTATAATAACTGAAAAAATGAACTAAGGATAGCTGATATGATCAATTAAAGTTTGTATCCTGTACAATATCATAACAAATATGAATAGCTATTTCTTTAAAATTTTAAATATGTTTTCTTTCAATGCATACATTCGGCATTTCAGATAAAATGGTGGAAATAATAGAAGAATAATAATAAATAGAAATAATACGAACAGTAAATTAGCTACACTATCACCTTGCTAGTTTTGTAGCTTTGTAGCAAAACTTCCCACAGCACAAAATCACAGTTCATTTAAATAATTTCAATCAAGATGCTTACTTTAGATGCTAAAACATAGCTTCCTTTTAACTAAACATGAAAAGGTGAAATTATGTTAACACGAGCATTGTCTTTCATACCACTTGGCTCTTTGAAGTTGTTAGTTATTGGTTAACGTTGTAGTTTATTTTGGAAACAACTCCTAACTTTCTAAAATAGCCACCAGAAGTTTTTTATGTGCCCCTATCATAGGGGCTCTTTGTTAATATATATATATATGTTAATGCTGTTTAATAGAAGAACAGGTGGGCAATGTAACGTTAGTTACTGTAATGTTAGCTAGTGTTACTCAATGCAGAACTAAATTAGCTAGCTAGCTAATTAGCTCGCTGGCTAACTAACTTTATGGATTGAGTAACAGTAGCTAACAAGCTACATGCTACAAGGAAGGCATGGGCTATTGCTATCAAAATATGTAAATAAATGTACAGATTCGAAGGGTACATTCTCAAAAGAAAGAATCAAACGTATTAGCGACACATATAGTAAAAATATGCATTACAGTGAAAGTGACACTTCCTTTTTGTTCCCCCTGGTCCCTTTTAACGTTCAAAGCCTGAATACAAAGACGTGTCTTGTTTACTGTCACTGTTTTGTTCCGCCAAACTCTTTCATTGAACAATAAGAGGAGTTGAATTTAAAAATGGTGGATGCTCTCACCTTCCTCCCCCGCTCGGTGGCTTGTCGGATCTTGTTTCTGTGGTCCGCCATGTCTGGGCGCAGTCCCCTGCCTGCCACTCTGCCAGACCTTCTCATACTCGTCAACCTGTTTCTGATTCTTACTTGGGTGTTGCTGAAAGAAGAGCATCTTTACTTTATATTGCAGCTTCAGCCGTGCGACCCTATTGGAGGAAACAAGGACCGGATGATTGTCTGCACAGTCGTATTGTAGCTATGGTAACGGACCCAACAGGCATGAGTGGTGTGCGCCTAATTCCTCTGTATACATTAAGCGACAGAAAAAAAGAAACATTCATTTAGCAGTACATATTTTAGACCATAAATATTTTCTATGAACCTCTTCACTTAGTAATATTTTATTAAAACGAACATCTATCTGCTGCATTAAGTTTTGAAAATACCTCAGTGAATGAGGGGATGAATGCAAATGACACAGAAGAAAGATGGATGAAAAGACATTTTGGAGAGGGGGGAGAGATGATATTGCTTTTGTTATGTAGTTTTATCAGCTGCTTACCTTTCAACTGGATTTCACACTGGCATGTCTGGTTGCAGCCAGGGTCAGATCCAGCATACCCTTCTCACAATGACCAATTTTCTCCTCACCCTGCAACAGCAAACAGCAAAGAACCTCCGTTTTTGGCTGCCACTTGCATTTGTCTATATTGTGATGGATTTAAACATCACAATATATTTTCATTTTTTAATTTGCTGATTTTAACTAGTCAGCATCTATTAATTATGTATATGTTGAGAACTTTTAGAACTTATAATAACTGAAAAAATGAACTAAGGATAGCTGATATGATCAATTAAAGTTTGTATCCTGTACAATATCATAACAAATATGAATAGCTATTTCTTTAAAATTTTAAATATGTTTTCTTTCAATGCATACATTCGGCATTTCAGATAAAATGGTGGAAATAATAGAATAATAATAAATAGAAATAATACGAACAGTAAATTAGCTACACTATCACCTTGCTAGTTTTGTAGCTTTGTAGCAAAACTTCCCACAGCACAAAATCACAGTTCATTTAAATAATTTCAATCAAGATGCTTACTTTAGATGCTAAAACATAGCTTCCTTTTAACTAAACATGAAAAGGTGAAATTATGTTAACACGAGCATTGTCTTTCATACCACTTGGCTCTTTGAAGTTGTTAGTTATTGGTTAACGTTGTAGTTTATTTTGGAAACAACTCCTAACTTTCTAAAATAGCCACCAGAAGTTTTTTATGTGCTCCTATCATAGGGGCTCTTTGTTAATATATATATATATATATGTTAATGCTGTTTAATAGAAGAACAGGTGGGCAATGTAACGTTAGTTACTGTAATGTTAGCTAGTGTTACTCAATGCAGAACTAAATTAGCTAGCTAGCTAATTAGCTCGCTGGCTAACTAACTTTATGGCTTGAATAACAGTAGCTAACAAGCGACATGCTACAAGGAAGGCATAGGCTATTGCTATCAAAATATGTAAATAAATGTACAGATTCGAAGGCTATATTCTCAAAAGAAAGAATCAAACGTATTAGCGACACATATAGTAAAAATAGTTGTGTGCGTTTACGCTTCTTTGCCGAGAGAAGACCGATAAGATTTAGGTCACAACTTCCATGTTTCAAAACTAGGCTAGATATGACGTCACTCGTGAAAGCCCTGGAAGCGGTGGGTAATATTTAATATTATATATTAATATATTTAACCAGTCTGACTCCGTCCAAATGTAACGTTAGCTTGAAAACCCCGGCTGACCAGCACCTCTAACGCTCACCAACAAACATGTTGTATCTCATTCCTTCAATCCGCCAATGTCGGTAATGTTCTGTGAAACACAGTTGTGGATATTTCCCAATTAGCTTGAATATTTGTGTTGTGTTCCATAGTTTATCCTGTCTAACTCTCAGTGATGCCAACTCAAGGTGACCACCTTCACATGCTGAGAGAGACATGAAGCAGCCGCAGGGGGCTGGCTGGATAAGCGCAAGGTGCCACTATGCGGGAATTCAAACACGCAGCCTGTACTTCTTCTTCCCGAGGAAGACAAACGTGTCAGTTGAACAAATATGTATTCTCACACATTCGGGCGGTGCACAGGGGGTATTCCTGCACAAGCGCAGCAAAATGAGAAAAATACGATTTTCAAAGCAATAGACTGATAAATAATTAAATAGATTGCTAGAATAATGCTTGGTATTCTCTCAGGGCTGCTCTGTTTTTCCCCACATAAACACAAAATGCCCCAGATCCATGTAATCTGACTGGAAGGTATTGCATCTCTAAGGTCGTGATGTGAAGGAGATATATGACCAGAATAAACACATTGAAATAAAGAATCAGCCCCCTTAGCTATTTTTTTAATTTATTTTTATTTTTAAAATAATTTATAATTTATTTTTTTATTCTTGAGTGAATTTTACTGAAATTCACTCAAGGATGCTACTCATGTTTTATCATTGATTGAACTTGCTTGTAAGGCAGTTTGCCCAATAAAACTTCACATCAATGGCACAAACAGCCTAAGTCTTAAACATCAGAGACAAATTTTCTTTCCCAAGTAGGATTACAGCTTTCAGCATTTGCACTTTCCCTGGACCTTTAGGACTTGTGGATGCGGCATCTATCAGCAATATCATTGTTGCTCAATTGTGGGTGCTAAAAACAAAAAGACAAATGGAACAATTTAGCACGACTTGACTTTCAAAGACTTAAAGATTCTTTGAATTAAATCAACCTATGCTATTCAAGAGAAGCCCCCTTGTTTTGGTGTGTGTGCCGCCGCCGTGCCTCAAACGGGTCAAGGTGAACACTCCTCATCTGTGATTTTACCCGCTAACTCATTCCCAATGGAAATCAGTCTTGTTCATTTTTCAAACAGCCTCCAGGATATCTGAATCGCCCCCCCTACCCTCCTCCAAAAAAAAGCCCCTCGGGCGAGCGTTCAACTTTGATGTTTTGAGACGAGAGACAGTGAAAAGCTGCAGTCTGGATTCATGCATTTTGTATTGCTTGGAGAGGAATTACAAGCAACCTACTGGTGTCTCATTGTTGTTAGCTATGCAAGCTCATTCTCAGACTGAGCGCTGCTGATTCAGAACAAAATACCGTGACAGTACTAAACAAGGTGGCCATTACATTGAGTTTGGGTATTGATTCAGAAGTGTCCTGGTGAAATTGGTGACCTCCTGACCTTGTTTCTCTGGCACCAACGTTTAAACCGAAAATACCCACTTGTCGTTGTGATCATGTATAGCTGAGGTATCTCAAAAACAGAGGGTGAAATGATTCGGTGGATAAATCGTCTGACATTTTCAGCCTGTAGAAAAGACACAATGAATCATATTGGCTGGATTGTCCTGAATTCAAGCTCCAATGAATATGAACCCTTGACCAGATTCTTAACTTAGCACATTTTCAAAAGCATATAAAATGACGACTGTAAAGACTGAATTCTCACCTTCTTTGTACTTTTGTTTGCTTCTTCTGTGTTCACACTAGAAGGGGGGCAGAGACCCCTGCCTACCAACACATGCAAAGGATAGTGACGCGTGCTCGTCTCACATGGAAGGTAACAGCGCTCTCTTGTGGTCACATTGCCGTAATACATGTAACGAGCCCGGCGGTTCGCACGTGTCAGCAACACAAATCTGCAGCACAAATCGCCCGTGTGCGTCTTGCAACGGAGGAAGTCGAGTTTCCGGCGAGTAAAGTGAGAACGGTTGTATCCGCCATATCTGTCTAAACATCTAAACCTCTCGATACTGGTCTCACCCGCTCGTATTCAAAGCTAAACGAGATCCCGGTGTCAGCGCAGGCGCGGTGGCCAAGTGGTAAGGCGTCGGTCTCGTAAACCGAAGATCGCGGGTTCGAACCCCGTCCGTGCCTTTTGCACAAGCGCGGACAGAACGAAGCTCCGATGTTATGTGACTCGTGCAGATATGCGCTGTTGTCTCCCTGCGGAATTTACACTCACCAACAAAGCCTCAATTAAAGAGTACCAATGAAGATCACCATCTCACAATACATACTTTCTAACGTCATTTTCTTTCAATTTCATATCATCTTCATGTCTCTTGACTTTTGTTCTCTTTACTGGAATCAGGAAACATTTATTGCCAAAATATGTTATACATACAAGGAATTTGACTTGGCGGTTGGTGCGTGACAGTAGACAGTGTAACAATAGACAACAAGACAGCAGTGCACAAGTAATAAAATAAAATGAAATGCTAATGCTATGGGTTAGTAGAATAAGGCTAGAATAATATGTCAACAGATTTCAGATCATGTTTTTCTCACGTCACATTGTTATAACTCCCCTGTAATCGTACACTCTCAGCTGACATTCATCCCACTAGCACAGTTTCCCGGGTAACGCATGTTGCAGCATCAATGATTTCATATCATGTTCCGGGCTGCAGCAGCGTACTATCACGTTCCATCCGTCTCTGTAAAGAGGAACTGGAAGATGCTGCTGCTGCTTCGGGTGGGGGGGTTCAGATAAACCTGAATCAGGTTTCATCAGCACCTCAGTGGTGGATCATGTCCAACCTCCAATCAATGGGACACAAATGTTCCTCAAGATGGCGCAAAATGACTGCCGTGTAAATTCATATTTGTTGTGCAGTCGAGGCCACCCTTGTTGACATCTCTCAGTGAGCCCGTGCTGCTGTGCCAGAAGCTCATTTCCATGGTAACCTGCGTGATTTCTTGTCAATAGTGAGACCATTTAAGTTCTCTATTTTTCTTTTCCCCGCAGGGATTTGCTGCCATTGAGCTTCGTAGGTCACCTGTCAGATGATGGCAAGGTTGAATATTTTCAAATCAATGATATCTATCTAGTTCAATTAGGTGACACAGACTAGGGAGAGTTTAAATTGGAGGAGAACGTCATCATGAAGGAACATTCATGTATACCTATGTAATTATGTGACACGGTAGTGGAAATCAGTGTGTCACATAACATTTCCTCCAATACTTCTGGGAAAGCGATTAACAGAACCCTTCTAAATAGTCTTGCTTTTCACGGCATCAATTTAAACTTCCCAATATAGCAACAGAAGGAGCGTCTGCATTCCTTACGTTTTAATGACCAAACCTTTTATTGCCTATTCTCTGTCTTTGTGGCACGCGCGGGGGCCGTGTGTCCTCAATCAATCTGTCTCTTAAGAGCAGAAGACAAAACCGTCCTTTCAATTGGGAAATGTGCCAATCCAAGCCAAACAAACAGGAGAATATTTGCTGCTTGAAGAAAGCGCAGTGAAGTGTGGATACAACACACGCAGAGGAGAGTCTTCTCAGGTAGACATGACTCTATATTTACATAGCAAATAGTCCTTTGCTGCTATAATAATGATTAAAACGTCTCAATGTATTTACATGTCACTGTGAATGAGTAAAGCGTCGGTCCTGAGCGTTCATACCGGTTTTTCATCTCGGTGATTGACTTCCTTTGTAGATTCTCATGCAACGTCTCCTCTGCCAACTGTAAAATTATACATTTCCAACAGAAAAGCCCAGGGGAGACTGAAACAGGAGGAGGAGGACAAAGGAGTGTGCAACGTGCAGTATTTATTGGCAGCAGGTCCGCTGTCGGCTGCGCACGCATCGATTCCCTGGTTCGTGTGCCGTCGAATTCTGAACCCGACGTGGATTTTTACACAGTAATTGTGAGCAATTACAGCCCATCAAAATAATGCGCTCAACAGCGTTGAAGTTCATTTATAGAACGGATTCTGTAATGAAACATCATCATTAGTTCACCATGTAGGCAAACAAAACAACTGACTTCGGGACCAAACTAAACTACGCAAGAGGGTTTTTGGGAATTGTTGGTGCCCTTCAATCCACAGGCCACATGACCTCACAGACACTGGCGGCTGACCGCCGGTCACTTGCGCTAGTTTCACAGTTTATTTGTTTTGTTTGTTTCTTCTGCATTCTGCATATATAATAATAATTTCAATTAAAGGGATGAATGGCCATGGTCTTACATTAAGCTCTCATATAAATTTATGACAAACTGATTAGGGAGGAAACATGTTTTAAGTAAGTTCTCCACAAAAAATGTAATGCTGACCTTAATGTTGATATTTTTAAAGGTAGAACAGTCCTGGTCTTAACAGTTCCAACAGCGATCCTGTAGGAAGTCGTAGTCTGTTCTGCACATGACTGTCATTGTTTATGTTTGAGGCCGTTTAAGCCAAGACTTCATCGTGGGCCATCTGGCTCTCAGCTGGGGAGACAAACAGTTGATTAACGAACGCAGTCAATGTGGAACCGGCTCCATCAGCTCCATCAGCTCGCCCGGCAGGGATTAAAGGATGTGCTCGTTCACGGTGACAATAATGCTGTTGTGCATGTGTGGGATCGGGGATCTCCCCGAGAGTGTCACGCTGCTGCAGAAATGTTTGTTTGAGGTCAGTTTTTACCAGGATTTGTATGTCGGCTGCAACAAACGTGACCTTTTTGACAATGCAGCAGTCTGCCCTGGAGCGCGGAGGGTCCAGGATGCCGAGGACATCACGGGTCTGAAAGAGCACTCATCAGTCCTCATCAGGCTTCAGACGCAGAAGGGAGAAGAGAAGGAGCAGGATTCGTGCTGCGTTCAGGGACGGTCAGAGAATTAAAAAAAACTGATGTCTGAAAACCTGCAAAGCCACTTTTGAGATATTACTCAAAAGTAAGGATGCTAAATCGAGAGCCCCCCTTAGACTGTAGAGTAGTCTGCTCATGTTAATAGTTAGAATTCCCTTTAATTGCATCACATGTGTCTCTCCTTCAGGATCACACATGCACGAATGCGGCTTTCGGGTGGAAGTGACTCCCAGAGCCGCTGAAGGCTGCACACAATCGGGCAAGTGTTTGTGGGCCGTGACCCAGATTCTTGTTTCCACTCCAGGACTTTGGACACCGCTCCGGTTTAAAGCGGCACGTTAAGGGCGCAGACCGGAACATCTGGGAGGGGCGGTGTTTACTTTTGATTACGGCCGATGGCGTTTACTGGGCGTCTCGCGGGAGGTTGAGGTTTGGACTTTGACTGATTCGATCTCAAGGGAACCCCCCTCAAAAAAAACCCAGCAGCAGGGAACCGAAATAGAGATTTACTGCATAAAAAGATTCTTCTTTAAGCCTTTTAAAAAGGTTCCTGTTTGTGTGAAAACAACTCACATCCTTTCGTTGTTTGCACACATATGCTCGGTTTATTTTGTGTCAGTGTGTTTCACTTCTTTGTTATTTATGAACATGGCGCCATCTGCGGGTCAAAAATAAAAAATGACACAAACTTCATGCGCGTTTTATATGCATACATATCATATATACATATACAGGTAGATTCATAAGTACATAGATGTACATATGTTGATATAATTGAGTAATATCTATTAAATTCAAAAACACCATTCATTTCTGTAGAGACATCCCACAATGCAACAGTTATTTGTGTGTACTGCGTTTCTTTAATATTACAATAACGAGAACAAACGGCCAATAAGATCTGGGTTCATAATCTGCTATTAACGGTTTATGACATCACTTAATAGCTATTAGCTTCTAAACCATTAATAAAGAAATAGCATCTTCAAACCCAGATGGATGAAGCACAGTCAACGAAGCTCAAAGGCAACTTCAGACTCATGAGGCGGTTTCACAAACAAGCGCCCTATCTGACCCTTCCATCGCTGATTAACACTTGACCTTTGGACCGAGATTCGATCAAGCACAATATAATATCATAACACAATATAAACCCAACACTGTTTTACTTCTCATGTTTTTATTAAAAGACAGTAAAAAAAAACCCCAGCACAACTGGAATTAGTATGCGATGAGCATTATTACTGTCCCGTGTTGTGTTTGATTGGCACACGGGACACGCATTTATTGCGTCAGTAAATGTTACACATTGGGTGTTGGTGGCCGCAGAGGAAATCCGGCCAGAGGGCAAATTTGGGGATGAAAGGTGCTTTTCTCAGACATCTGGCAGCGTTTCTGTCACATCTGCAAAGCAGCTTTTCACATTTGTCCTTCAAATCATCTGCAACAAAAAACACAAAGTTCTTCCTCAGAGACGAGAGGACGGTGGTTTTCCCAGAAATGTCGTATAATTTATTGAGCTTACGTTTGTTTACAACGAGTTCAGCTTTATTCATTTGGCCTCTTATTGGTCATTTGGACGTCTGGCTGAGTGAGACCTCATTGAATGATTTATTTAAAGAATATCATAAACAACACTATTCTGAGACTTAAATACATAAACCGCAATTGCTATTGATTTTTATGGGTGCTTAAAATACCCTGAAACATTTAGTGAAAACATCACGTCCCTCAACTGCCTGTTTACGGTCCTCAAGGAGACAACGGGCGTCCTCTCTCCTCCACAGAAGCAACACACTATTTGTGTCGGTGTTGTGTGTCCTCAAGTCGTTACCCGTCTCTACGTGGGTTTCTGTCTCTTTGTGCCCATTTTGCATCTCGTACCTTTTTGTATTTATTCCGTCGTCGTCTCGAGTGTCGTTGTTTTTTCGCGGCCTTTAAAGTCGCCGTGAGTCTCTTTAAGATCTCCTCGTTTTTGGACACTTTGGACCCCGTCACTAATCCTACACACCAGCATTAGAAGACACATTACCACACTCTGCTTTCTCGTCCTCACAGGTCCACTGGTACTGGTCGGTTTTGGTTTGGCAGCCAAGACGTTCTGCGTCTCCGTAACAGCAATCGTGTCTGTGGCAACACCTACGCACACACAGGGAGAACCACGGCCCCGTGAAGGGTCCAGAAAGCATCAAACCACAGCAGGCCAGAGGTTTCCACAACAGATAGTTAGAAGTTTACGGGTTTGAGGGGTTCGGAGAAGGAGGCAAAGGAAGGAGACGGCAATTAGGATTTGGGTGTGGAATTTTCGGAGCTATTTTGAGGGTCGACCGTCGGCGTGCGTGAGAGCGCCGCGTCTGTGGCGCAGCAGCGGGAAGGAGGGGGGCGAGCGGGAGGCGGGAGGACGGGGAGGCCCCGCGGGCGTGCTGAATTCTATCTTTCGCAGTATGTAAAGCACAGGTGGGCCACGTGCACGAGTGTGTTTACATTTCCACACACAGACGCCGGGCGTCCGGGTGGAGTTGAACAATGAAAAGAAGCCCGGGGGAACCTCACCAGTCCGCCTTGTCTCGGGGCCAGCCCTGACCCCCCAGTCCGCAGTAGCACCCGTACACCATGTAGGCCAAGGCGGACCTCCCCGTGCTGCACTTGATGGCTCCCGCCAGCTCCAGCAGCCCCCTTCTTGTCCGCGGGGAGCCGGGCGGCGCCGAGGAGGCGGCGGCCGCTGGGGGGGGGAAGATAAGGAGCAGATGAGGAAGAGGAACCGAGTCGTAAACCGTTTGGTTTGGAAAGCAGTTGGACTTTCTGCACAAACGCGTAAACGTTCCTCGTCTTTGTCCAGATGTGCACTCGGGAGGCCAGTTTAATAAGCTGGCAAAGCTGAAGCAAACGGCGTCCGACGTAACAGGAATCCTAACTCGGTGGTGTCGGGATGTCGATATGACGGAATCAAATGTTTCTAACACATTGCCCACTCCATTAAAATCGACAAAAACGCATCAATAGAAACTGAGGTGAGAGGTAGAAAGAGTTGTTGTGCAGAGTTCCAGGAGGTTTGTTTGCACTCTGTAAACAAGAGCACCGTCTCCTCCTGTCACCTGGCCGCCCCGAGTCGGTAAAAATACCCTTTAAGAATTTGATCCTTACTTCTACTTGGAGCTCCACTATAAAGTAAAAAGAAATAATCTTACCAGACAGCAGGAGAAGAGTCCGGTAAAACGCAGCCATGGCTTTCAACAGGCAGCTGAAGTCCACGGCGAGAGTTCACTCGCTCACACAGAGGGTGGGGAGCTTTTTTTAGATGCCGTTTGAATAATCTCCTCAGCATCACCATTGGCCGCGGGCTAATCCAGCGTCCTTCAGACGGGACGCCACCTAGAGGACAACAAGGGTTTGCGTCTCCGGGCTTCAGGCTGGTAGGATGGTAAAATATACAAATACAACACGTATATAGACGGCAATGAAAGGAAACCTTTCCGTCGTTTAAGACCTGGAGTCCGTGTGACTCAACAACAGGGAGACAGAAAATACATCAAGTGAACACATTTTCCAGAATCTGGATGATAATCCTAATTTGGATCTTTCATGTAGGTAAAGTGGTTACAGAGACGATGTGGGGAATGAATCAAACGAAGACTAAACAAGCATAGAAAACGCCGCGTGGGTTCAGGCACAGATTCAAATGGGCTTTGGGGCTGATCGCCGCTGGACATTTTCAGTCTCTGTAAGCAGAACACAGTGTGCGCTTCCACTTCCTCACTTCCAGATTATGACAATTACACCTACACGATATAGTCCCCCGCCCATCAGTCATAAAGACTCCATCCTTCTTGTAAATAAACATGTCAGCGGGTGGACAGTAAAGACCTTGTTTCCATAAAACAAACAGCAGCTATCATCACTAGGATTTACTGAGCTGCACTCCGAGCGTTTGAGTTTAACGGCTGAGATTGTTTATTTGACAAATTACAGACCTGCAAATGGACATGAGTTGTGTCCTATCTTTGGGTTTCATCTTTTTATTATGTCTTCTGAGGGTATTTTTGTCTGTATTGCGCTGCGTGATGTGGGAGCGTTGGGGCGGCCCACGCTTTGGGCTTTTGATAACAGGGGACACATAAGTCACAGTGTTTTGTGGTTTGCGTTTCCTCTGGAGGCTCCTGCACCGCGCGAGATAAGCGCCTCCTCCTGGCAGTTACTGTAGCTGCTCCCCTCGTTCCTCCATCCCTTCGTATCGGAGGATTTTCACCTCAACCTGTCCATCGCCACAGAGCATTTTAGATGGTATCGGGGCAAAAGCTGAGCGAGCCACAAATGTGCAATGAAGCGGGGAACAAAAACTCAGATAACTCCAGGCGTTTCTTGTTTTGGCCGGTCGGAAAACTGAGGTGGAAATCCTCCCTGAACTAGAGATGATGCGCCTTTTCAGATTAAAAATAACAACAATAAAATGCATTATGGAGGAAGAAGTAAGAGAAATTCAGATAAAATCCAGATCATTGCTAATCTTAGACCCAATAGTATTATTAAACTATTGTAATACAATGTCTACTAATATGTAATGTCTTTATTACTAGTTTCCTTTATTAGTATATTTTGTTCCTGTTTTTATACTTGTCAAAATTCAATAGCATTTAAACGTACAGACTTGTCTTCGAGGAACAAACTTTTACCTGAAACAAATTTCTTTTATTAGCATACAGATGGAAATATCTGCTTCCCTTTGAACTATAAATTATTTCCTTTCCAGGTTTGAATTAGTGTCGGAGAGGAACCCTGAATAGCTTATTAATTAAATGAAAATACCTCATGTCAAAGCTGGCTCCTTTTTTATCGACGCGCTGTAATCAATTCACAGCCGGACCATTAACACAATAATGTTACAAATTAAAACAGAGAAGAACATTTCATGTATTTTAATTGAAACTGAGCCTGAAGCGTTGTGAAGCAAATTTACCATAAAAAAGGGATCTGAGAGGATTAATGTGTTGATCAATTCAAAGATGAAACACCAGAACCCGTCAAAAAAAGGTTTGCAGAAAGGACGGTTGAGGGTGAGAGGAGTTTTCATTTCTTCAGGCTTAATAGTCTGAACTGTGACTGGCTTTGTAGATTTCATTGAAGAGATTGAAACAGGACGTTGCAGCATTAGAAATTGGCCAGAAGGATTTACGATGGAGCGCCCACTATGATTTTCAAGGTTATATAATATATTGGAAAATGCACATAGAAAAGGGGGATGTCGTGTATAATGAATGAATTCCTACACGGTGGGATGTACTTTGAATTATAGTCAACCTGTGCATCACTTTCAGCTCCATTTCTTTCATGTGGCAGTCCTCCATTCTTTCCCTGAGGAAAGCAACGATACATGTATACTCATCCACTGGCAGATAACGAACTTAATGTGGCTCAAAATCACAACACTGAATTCAAACATCTGAACAGATGCCAGTCAAATACCCTCAAGAGAATTATCCTCATTAGCACATTAGCATAGAGAAAAGCATAGCCGTGTTATAAATAAACATAAACAACACACATAAATATGCAATACACGCAGTTGTTTGAGTTATATATAACAAAACAGTATATATATAGCTCAAACACTTGCGTGTATTGCATATTTATGTGTTTTGTTTATGTTTATTTATTAACACTGCTAATTCTCTTAAGGATATTTGACTGGCATCTGTTCAGATGTCTGGATTCAGTGTTATATATATGTATACAAAACAGTATGTGTGTATATATATGTACACACACACATACTGTTTTGTTTGGATTTTGTTTGGAACCTGCTATGTGGAAGGCTGCCGCGTCCCCCGCGGCCTGCGGGGGGCAGCACTGCGCCACGCGCGGCGTTCGCTCCGCATCGACTCAAAGACGAAGAAGAAGAAGAGTCGACGGGCGGCCTTCAGCGATACTCCACATCTTAGCTAACTTATTTGGGCTAAAACGAAAAATTGTTCCCCTCCCCTTTGGGTAACCCACGCAGGAGAAGCTCGGAATAAAGATCCATTCATGTAAGTGGGTTTCGCGGGCACTGCGGGATCGTTGTGCGGGATTTCCAGCGGGACTCGGGCGCGAGCTACACATCTACCGCTCGCTATTGTTTGCGTTGGAGAACTAGTTTAACTTGACATGCCGATGCTTTGTCGGGTCGGGGGACTTCTTGGGAACTTGGTCGCGTAACGTCACGTTAGCTCGGTCCGGCTAGCCGGTCCCCGGCACCGGGGAAAGAGGAGGTGTGTGTGGGGGTGGAAACACACGCCGTGGCGTGTTGTCGGTCGAGAGGTTTTGTGCGCCGGTAGCGGTTGAAACTAACGTGAGCGGTGTGTTGCTAGCCGCTGCTAGCTAAGTGATGGGTGCCAACTAGAAGTCCACACTCGGCGGTTTCCCCACGCACACACGTGTGCTAAACGCGACGCGTCCATTATCGGACACGTCTCTCTTTCCTCCCCCACACGCTTCTAAAACAAACTGAAGGCGAAAATGATTTCTTTCTTTTTCTTCTTCATCCTCCGCCGTCATGGCTTAATTTAACCCTTTAACGGGAGAAAGCTAACCAAAAAAAAGTCCTTAGAACAAAGTTAATTTTCACTTTGCTGAAAAAAAACGGACATGAAATCAGAATGTATACCAGAAAAAAACAACTATTATGGCTTTCTTTTGCTTAAGAATGAACCTAAAGAAATACAAAACGATTTTCACACATGAGCTATGACGGCGGGGTGCTATGATGACTATACCAGTGACGCTTACGTCATATGCTCCGATACCAACTGCTCGGGTCATGTTTATAAATCGATCCATGTGAAGCGCATTTGCTTGCCAATACACAACCGGAAGAAAGCTTCGGAGTGATCGAAGTGGTGTCCGATAATGGACCTCCTGCTTTCGGATGACACGTTAGAACCCTTTCCCCGGCCCAACAAGTGCGCCGATTCATCCTCCGGATCCAGATGTGCACTTTTAAAATCTGCGCGTTTATCACACGCCGCTGCTTACGTTGCCCTGCTCGCGACCTGGGGAAAAAAAGAAAAGCTAGTTGAACAGCACGTGTGTCGTCATCGCTGGATGCGGAAGCTGCCAGCGCTGAAGGGAAGAAGACTTTCAGGGAATACAACTACTGTGATCAGCCGGCGTGTGAACTGTAAAAACCTGTCGGGCAACATGCTGGTGTTGTTTTATGATGACCAGGAGTGCTTCTGTGTTTTCATTGTTCCTGCTGCCCTGCCAGGGACTCTTAACCAGCTGTTCAAACGCCGCATGTGTCCCACTTCCAGGTGCTGACAGGAGTGTGTACCACTACAAATATGTCCGAGGCGTGTCAGGATCGAAGGAGTCGCTGGCAGGAGATCCAGAAAGGCCTGCAGTTCATCCAGTAAGTGTCCCCGCTCGACCAAGCAGACGTGCGTGAGGTGTGACTCTGAGCGCTGCCGTCTGTGAAGTGACGCCGGGGCGCAACCAGAGGAATCTAGACGAAGCCGCTGCCGGTTGATCTAAATTAAACAAGCTCGCTGGGTTTGAAAACCAGGAAACGTAACTTTAGATGCCAAACGGCGGCCGAGCTGGAAACCAGTATGACAAAGCCGTCTCGTTTGTAAGATGTTCCGTCGTGACATTTAACGACACCCTTCGGGTATTCAGTTGGTTTCCTGTGAAACGATGAATAATCGTTGCTAATTATAGTCGAGACTGTAACTTTACATTCTATTACTAGAACTTCTTTTTCTTAATCCTGACTATCATTATTTACTTATTTGAACTTTAAAAAAAGATGACAGCCTTATTTACCTAGTTTTTCTATTGTTTTTGTATAATCGAACACAGCAACCGTATAAATCATACCTGGCATTCTTTATAATGTAAAGAAATAAAATAAATTGTCACATATTTTGGGTAAACATTTTTTTTATTTTGAGAGAAAGTTTGTTTCAGGACAGACATTTAATGATGTCAGCACGGGACACACCACAACAACCCATGACACGCACACACACACACACACTCGCACTCCTTTCCTGTTAAAGCCTCTTTTCTCTTAAATTCAGCTCAGATTTTTAAGTAAAATGCTGATGACTACACGAGTAGTACTACTATTACTACTACAGATGATAACCAATGGAATACAAAATGAAAGTTGAATGACGTTGTTTTGTTAGACAAACAATGTGATTATTCTCGGAATTTGCATTCCATCCGCCCTGAGAGACGGATTGTGCTCTGAATGCGATTGAACTCTATTTTAAAACTTTCTTCTCATTCCAATGTGTGTTCGTCTTGTTCTGGTGACCCTTATGGAGCTTTTTAACCTCAAACCTTCTCCTGCTTCTAGGTCAACTCTTCCTTTCCCGGGAAGTCAAGCTCAGTATGAGGTTAGTTCTGTCATTTTTCATGTGTCCTTTCTCAACACTTGGATTGTGTCCAGCTGAAGCTTGAAGCCGTTTGAAGGGTGATGCTCAGGTCACGTTTCATTTCTCCCCCAGAATAAAGTGCTTGAAGAACCAACCAGCTGCGGCTTTTACATTCCACTGATTTGGTTCTCTTCATCTCGGCAGGTGTTCATCAAGGAACTTGTGTGGAATCTCTTTGGAGAAGGAAACGACGTGTTTAGAGAAGGCGACTGGACGAAATCCATCGAGATGTATA